ATCTCAGGGTCCTGAGATCAAGCCCTACATGGGGCTCTGCACTAGGTATGAAGCCTGCCTAAGATTCTCCCTCTCTCCCTCTGCCCCTCCTCCCAATAAAAAATAAAAATAAAAAAAATACCTCTGCTGACTTAGCCTGTCAAACTGGGGCAATGATGCCAACAATTTTATAGACATCGTACTTTCATTTGTTAAATGAATGGTTGTGTTTAAGATACGTATATAGTGTAACAATGATACATTCCTATATTTAATTAGCATATAGCATATACCATTACTAAGTGGAATTCTGTGGAACTAACACAAATTCATTCTGGTCCTACAATAAAATGAGCAAGATGATCAGGACTTTTTAAGATAAAAAATGTAGGTGAGTAACTTAGGATGTAGGAGAAAACACAAAGATAGTTGCAAGGGTTTGTGACTGAGCAACTAGGTAAAAGAAGGTGATGTTTAATTTAATATCGGTGGAGTATTGGGTTTGAAGGGTGGGGAATCAGGTGTTTGGTTTTGGACACATATATCTTGGATGTGCCTATTGCCTATTAGACATCCAAATAGAGATATTGACTAGGCAATTGTATGTATGGGTCTAGAATTTATGGGCGAAGCCAGAGTGGGAAATAGGAATTTGAGACTCATTGGTATACAGATGGTTTGTAAAACATGAGTCTGGAAGAAACAACTCAGGAGCGAGCATAGGGAGAGAATAGATAAGGAGGCATACCAATATTGAGAAGTCAAGAGAACATTCCTGAACCAGTCGAGGAGAATGAAAGAGGTAAATAGTAAAATGGGAGAAACATCAAGAGGGGCTCATCCACACAAGTGAAGAAAGTGTTGAGGAAGGAGAGGGTTCTAGCAACTGTGACAAATGGGGTGCATGGTCAGGCAAGGTGGGAACAAAGAGCGGACTATTGGATGGAGCAAGTCCGTGATGAGTGGACATCTTCACAAGAGTGCTGGGGTCAGATGGTGAGGAAACTCCCATCAATTGGATTCCAGGGAGAAGGATAAACAGAGATTGGAGACAGACGGGAGATAGAAGGCAAGTCTGCTGAGGTCTGGGAGAGGAAAGGAGTGGCCGCAAGAGGACAATGGGAGCCAGAGGAGGGCTTTTGTTTGTGTTTTGCAAAGATGGGAGCCATAGTAGCATGCCTAAATGCTGGTTGACAGTAGAGAGAAACACTGATGGCACAGGAAAGAGAAAGACATGATTCAGGGGAAGAGACAGACGTCTGACAGCCAGTTACTGTGCAGTGTGGTTAAGTCCGGAAAGAAAGGTACACAGAGGCCGGGAGACTGTGGCGTGAAGAGCGTGAGCACCCCCCGAGAACACTTTTATGGTTCTTGCCCACTTATCCCATTCAAAGATAAATACCACCTGTTCAGCCGGGCTTATGATCTCTATAATTAAGTTCGTAATGTGAGCAAGGCCTTACAGAGGATATGGGGTAGCAGAGCAATGATAGTGACTTTTTTTTGTTGTTGTTAGAGAGTTTCTTTGTTTTTCTGGACATTGTCTACTAGATCAGCAGAGAAATATAAGGCAGTTCCTCCCACCTTTTTTTTGCAAAATTTAATTAAATAAAAAACAAAAAACAACCAAACAAGAAATCATTTTCTTCCAAAAGCTCAAACCAAAAGAATGCTCATTACTTCATCAGACAGCAGTTCTTTTTTGTGTCTGCAGAAGCGGGCAGGTGGAGATAGAGGTGGCACAGGGTGGAAAAAACAGAGCTCACCGGGCTGGCTGCCTGGTCGTGCCTGCAGTTAAATGATTCCCTTCCATCAGGTCTGGCCCTGAGGTGTTGTGTGTATTGTGCCAAAGCCAAATGAATGGGGGAACCTGTCACTTGTCCTTTGCAAATATGGTTTTCAGTGGTTTGATGGAAAACCAAGGTGTTACTTTATTGTTTTAACCTACACGGATGGTAACAAGCTGTTTTCTAAGGCTTATCAAAGGTTGCTTCGCAGGTGACCAGGGCGCCTGGGTGGCTCAGTTGGTTAAGCGACTGCCTTCGGCTCAGGTCATGATCTCAGGGTCCTGGGATCAAGCCCCACATCGGGCTCCCTGCTCAGCAGGGAGTCTGCTTCTCCCTCTGACCCTCTCCCCTCTTGTGCTCTCTCTCTGTCTCTCTCAAAAAAATAAATAAAATTAAAAAAAAGGAAATTTTCCAATGTGGTTAAAATAAGGTGCCTTCTCAAAGGTTAGCTGTTGTTTTTGTGTTTTTCCTTTGTTTCTCCCAACCCAAGACCCAGGGCTCCCAGAGGATAGCATCCAGCCTGGGGAACTTAATATGACGTTCTCACATGCCAGGTACTCTGCCTCCAAAATAGATGGATTGAGGAAGGAAGGAAGAAGGGAAGGAGAGGAACCTATCAGATCATTCCTGTTGACATGACGTGACAACTGCAAATACTTCAAAGAGCAAATAGGAGACTCTGAAAGGAACTGTTTAAGTAGAGGTTGTTCAAAGACAGTGTCCGTGATCCGTTGCATATAACCTATAAATTTTATTAATTATAAACTACAATATGTTGTATTTTTAGAAGCTGGAGTTACCCTAGGTACCAGGCCACACTTGCTTCCTGTAGTTGATCAGTTTTGTTTTATTTGTGACAGTGCCCTAACTTCTAGATTATCTGTCCAGTGGAAGGAGTCAACATCCAGATTGGGGCCTGTGTCCTATCTTTATTTTTATGTCCCGTATTTACAACTGCTGGGCCCTCGCTTATTTTTTTTCCTAAGTGGATACTGATAGGAAAAAAGCATGCAAAACAACAGTTAGCGTCCTTGGAACACATTATATAGTTTCAAAATTGCATTGGTTTTGTTGATTTTTTTTTTTTTCTGGAGTGGTTATTAAATCAGTGGCTTCATGGAATCTAGAGTTCAGTGGAATCACCCAACTCCTTAAACCATGTTTATACCCATTTTCATTTACACAAGTTAAAAATGACAGGATACGTGTTGACTGGAAAACTGTCTGTTACCTCCTGTGTTATTTCAAAGTGACAGACTGAAAAGCAAATAGGACTTAAGGTGTGTCTTCTACTAAATTTGGTCAAAATCAGTTTACACTCCAGAAAGTTAAAGTTAAGCTTAAAAATGCCTGAGGCCGGATTGATGGAACACAGTGAATGACCTCCCTTAAAAAGTGTGTGTGTGTGTGTGTGTGTGTGTGTCACAGTTTATATTACCAAAAGCATTCTCAAATAAAGACATGCAGAAAGGTGAGACGAAATCAAATGCATGACAGGGAACATATTTCTATGTACCCATCCCAAGTGGATACTTACCGCCCCCATGCATGTGTTCCCCATGCCAAGAAGGGCCAGCCACCTGCCTACTGTGCAGGAATCTTGGGGATCTTCCTTGACCCCATGTTCTCACCCCCTCCTCACTTGGCCTATTTTAGTGCTAGTATCTCATAATTTTAAGTATATTAGCTGATTGTTTGTTTTGATATCTAAGTTCTCCTATCATTCTTATTTTTCTAAATTTACCTGGTTACCTTTACTGCCCCTGACTAATTTAGAGCTGACTTCTCAAGTTCTGTTAATAAAAATCCTTTTGAAATAGGTATTAGAATTGTATTGCATGCACCGAGATAAAATTGTCAACATAATATTGTTATGTAATCCCATCTAGGAAGTGTCTTTTTAAAACCCAGATCTTTTGAATATCCTTTTACTAAGTTTTATAGTTCTTTTTGTGAAGATTTTATGCATTTCATGATAGGATTGTATATTATATATATACATGGATGGATTATATAAGTGTATATAGTTAGTGTCTGTATAGTGTACTATATATATTTTATATATTATTATATATGAGTACACACTTATATATATATATATTCTCATGTAGGTGTTTATTCTGTTTCTTTTTTAAAATTAGCATATGGGACGGATTTGTATATGTTGATATGTCTAATCAAATTATTAAACTTTCTTGGTATTTTTAAATGAAAAGAGATTGTCTTAGATATTTTAGGACAAAAACTAGATCAGGCATGAGCAACAAAAATCTTGTTATTTCATTTTTAGTATCTATACTTCTACCTCTTTGTTTCTTATTTAATTTACTGGGACATGCAGAACTGTGTCAAATAGCAGATAAAGAGTATCCTTGTGTTATTTCTAGTTCTAATGGAAAGGCTTTTAATGTTTAATTATTAAGTCTGCTGTTCACTATAGATTTCTGGCAGATGTCTTTTTTATCATGTTAAGGAAATTTTTCTTCTCTTCTTAGGTTACTAAATAGCTTATGGTTCTCTCCACTTTTCAAGTTCACAAACATGACCAAACCCCTCTGTACCCTTTCTCACTGCTGATTCTTTGCTCGTGGTTGGTCCCCGCTATGATATGCTTCCAACATCTTTTAAGACTACTATTCACTGTTCCCTCTCTATGAGGCCTTTCTGGACTGGCTTCCTGTGTCTCTCTCATCCTTCCTTTCGCCTACTCTACAACTATTTTTGGCATACCCTTCTCCCTATAAAACTACAAAGGCCTAGAACTGAGTGCCTTAACTATTTATCTTTGTATCCCAAATGCCAAGACCCTAACATGTATCTAGCAGAAGTACCATTAAAATGGTTTTAATAAATTAATGAATATAAGAATTATTGAAAAGTCTTCTATGGATAATGCAAGTAGGTGATTCCTCTGATTTGGATAATACTTTATTGTTTCTTGGAATTTCTTTCTCTCTCTCTATTTCTTAGAATTACTTAGAATTAGTTTGCAATTTCTTGAACTTTGTCCATTGTTTGGTTTCTAGTAGCATGTATTGGGTCATGGCCCTATGAAAATGTGCCAGTTATTGGAGAGGAGGAAAAATTAATAAAGTATTACAGGTAGTGTATTAAATCTTGAGAGGAGGATATCTTTTGTTGGTTATCAAAGCTCAGAAGAATAAAAGTTATTCTTGAATTTTTCACTTAATTCTATAAGAAGATATACTATTTTTTTTTTTTTTTTCTGTGCAGGGAATTACTATCCGACCACTGGTGGAATTTCTCGATGTTAAGAGGTCCAATAAGAAACAGCAAGCGGTCAGTGAAGAAATCCATTGCCGGGTAAGTGTTAACGTAGTAATGATGATTTAAGTGATAAAAGAAAAACTTGTTGGATTCAGTCAACAGCTTGACATTCTGGCACTCATTTCTTGAAGGAGAGGGAAGTGGCAGAGGGTAAAAGGGAGAGAGGGCCAAGAAGGACTTGAGTTGGCGGGGTGTGAGCACAGCCTCACGGTGGCTTCTCCAAATTCACCTGCTAGACCTCCTGGGAATGGGGGAACAAGGAATCCCTCTTATTTTTAAAGATTTTATTTTAGAGAGAGAGAGAGAGCAAGAGAGCATGACCAAGGGAGGGGCAGAGGAAGAGGGAGAGAGAGAGGGAATCCCAAAGTAGACTCCCCCTGAGTGCAGAGCCCAAATCAGGGCTCGATCCATGACCCTGAGATCATGACCTGAGTGGAAACCAAGAGCCAGATGCTCAACCGACTAAGCCACCCAGGCGCCCCAGGAACATGGAATCCCTCTTGTTACTTCCTTCAATCTGAAAATGTTTCTACTGGAAAATTATCACCATATTTCATATTTTCCAAAATTATGAACAAACTGTTATGGTGAGAAAAATAACCTGAGAATTGCCTATTATTGATGTAATAAAATCAGTGTATTTAGAGAGGAATCATTGTTTCATTGCTCTTAGTAAAAACAAAACAGGGCGCCTGGGTGGCTCAGTTGGTTAAGCGACTGCCTTCGGCTCAGGTCATGATCCTGGAGTCCTGGGATCGAGTCCTGCATCGGGCTCCCTGCTCAGCAGGGAGTCTGCTTTTCCCTCTGACCCTCTTCCCTCTCGTGCTCTCTATCTCTCATTCTCTCAAATAAATAAATAAAATCTTTAAAAAAAAATAAAAACAAAACAAAACAAACAAACAAAAACCCAACAACAGAAAAAAGCAAAAACGGTTAGGGTCTTTGAAGTGTAGGCATGATATAAGTAGAGTGCAAATTACTGATTTCAGGTAAAAATTAATCAGTAGCCTACTTTTTCTGTTTTAGTTTTTTGATCATGTGAAGACTGGGATTGAAGATGTTTGTGGACATTGGGGTCACAACTTTTGGAGAGACAAGTAAGAAGGTCTTATGCCATTATAGTATGAAGAGGCTCTGGCTCACTCTGGAAGCAGGACTTACTGACCTGTGTTATTTCTCAGTGTTGCAAATCTTTCCTGTGTTGTGCTGTAGTATGTACTTTGAGATAAAGTTCAGCAATCACAGAGACCCGGAGCAAGTTGGAAGCTTATCTTGCTCTTCTGTAAAAAGCCAGAACTCTGTAGGCAATGTAGGTGTGATATGTGAGCTCTGCTCCACAGACTCGTCATGGTCCCAGGACGCTTCTGTCCTGGTCAATCTACGAACCACTTCCATTTCCAAGGTTGCCTTTTAGACCAGAATGGCTGCTCCCATGTTAGCCATCATGCGCACATTCCAGGCTACACATAGGAAGAAAGATAATGAAGAGACAAAGAATATGTACTAGCTTCCTCCTAACTAGAGTTACCAGAAGCTTTCACACAATTCTTCCAGTTACACACATGGCCTGGCCTTCTGTGGCCGGCACTCAGTCACGCAGGCTTTTCTCACTGCAAGGGAGGCTGAGGAATACAGTCTATCTGGTGAAGCACTGAGGGTTCTGTTACTGCTTGTTGTCCCACACATGTCGAGGGGCTTTGTCAAATGCAGAGCTTCGGAGCACCTGACAATATAAATAGACTAACAAGTATTTTACAAATAAATTTTAAATACAAATATTATAACAAATATAAATAACAAATATTTTAAAAAGCTGCACTTATATGAAAGATTATGTGTGCTTATATAATGTGTCTATCTATCTCTTTGTTTTTAACCTTTAAAGGCTTTGTGGTGGGGGCGCCTGGGTGGCTCAGTTCTTAAGCGTCTGCCTTTGGCTCAGGTCATGATCCCAGGACCCTGGGATCGAGCCCCGCATCGGGCTCCCCGCTCAGCGGGAAGCCTGCTTCTCCCTCTCCCACTCCCCCTGCTTGTGTTCCCTCTCTCGCTGTGTCCCTCTCTGTCAAATAAGTAAATAAAGTATTAAAAAAAAAAAAGCTTTGTGGGGGATAAATAAGATTCAGTGTCTCTCTTCAAGGATCTTTTTTTTTTTTTTTTAAAGATTTTATTTATTTATTTGAGAGACAGAGAGTGAGAGTGGGGAGGGAGAAAGAATCTCAAGCAGACTCCGCACTGAGCACAGAACCTGATGCAGGGCTCAATCCCATGACCACAAGATCATGACCTGAGCCAAAACCAGGAGTCAGACACTTAACTGACTGTGCCACCTAGGCACCCCTCTTCAAGGATCCTGTAGCTGAAATGGGCAAGGTACACTATCCAGGCAGAATTAAATACATGTTTTCATATAAACTGAAAAACAGACTCCCGGGATTAATTCGGACCACAGGGTTGGGGACCACGGAGCGCAGGAACCAGCTCACCCGATCACCAGGAGCTGACCGTGTGCCTCTCCTCCTGACGTCATATTCAGTGCCATCCACATGGGTAGCTGGAGTCGTGTTCCATGTGCCGTGGAACTGACAAATGCTATAAACCAGGGCCTATTTTTTTTCCCCATAAAACAATTTGTTAACATTTATCAGCACATCACTGGTTAGGAAAGCCTTTTGAAGGAGACAGACAACAGATTTAAACTATATTTTGGTAGATTCCTCTTACTTTCTTGCCTTTGCTTTCCTAACTTGCTAATAGATGCCTTCCCTCCCCTCTGCTAATTTACGTGAAGTTGACCAACCTACCAATTTATGTAATTTAACATTAGAGAGGTTTTGAGTGCTTACTATTTGTTCACATGTTCTGACATGATACTGGATTATAGGAGAAGTATAAACCATGAACTCAGGACTTTAAAATTTTGCAGTATAATAAAGGCAACAAAACAGTCACACAGCAAATGGGGGTGTGTGTGTGTGTGAGTGAGTGAGTGCTATCATTAAGTAATAAGATGAGTTACAGAGACTCTTAAGTGTTAAAACACCCTTTACAAACCTGACCACACTGTTTACTAATGTAGAGAAGCCTCTTTGACCTAGCCTTACTTTATAAGCAAAGAAAAAATAGTTTATTTGTATGGTGAGAGCACCCAGTTAGCTACTTTGTGGGAGCACAAAGTAATAAAGCAAACTAAAATCTCCATTGCTAAAATGGGGGGGGGGAGGACCATTTATCTTGGGCAGGATTCACATTTTTGCAGGCAGGCGATGGATGAAAGAACCAACCCTGCCCAACTGCGCAGTACTTTGTACGCACTACCCTGCTTTATGTCCTCGGGACCTTCCTAACAAAGACAGGTCCTTGTCTTTGCCAAGTCAGCGATTCAGACTTTTCTGCCTCTCTTCCTCTGGTTTTTTTCTCAGCCAGGCCTGTTTTCCACCTACCTCCTTCCTATCCACCCGATCACTTTTCTCCCTCCCATCAGTCCTTCCCTGGACGGACAAGAGAGAGTAGTCACCCAGGACAGCTGGTTCCTTTCCAAAGTGGAAATTGGGTTAAGGATTTATACCATTCCTCTGCCTCCCAAATGGGGAAATAGACATGAGCAGGTGTAGGAATCAGGTCAGCATCCCTGGGGCAGTGTTAGGAAGAAGTCGGGGACCCTGTGGTCATGTGGTTTTGGTCTGGAACCTCAGGTAAAGGAACGTCAAAGAAAGTCTGGCTACATCCTGTCTTTCAGGCAGAGATACTCTGTTCTCTGGGGTACATGAGTCTGTTCCAGGCAAACATCTAGAGGCTGCCAGGCTAATTAGACTATAAATACTAAAGATGGCAAGTCTGATTTCAAATCGTCTGAAAGGTAATATTGCTGTGTCTCAGGTTTTTCTCGCGGTGTACATATTTCATTCAACCCCTGTATATTTCCATGCATGACATTCTCCAGGTAAATTTCAAAATAATTCCCTGGATTGTCAAGCACACTAGATATCTCAGGTAGAGCAGGGAAGTAAGTGTGTGTGGGTATGGAGGAATTTGGTGCTGACGCAGGTCATTCTTAAAATCAGCTCTGCTCAGATCCTATCTCTGGTATGTACATAATTGTTGATGTTACTAAAGATCACATATAAAGAAGTGGATTGTTTTAGGTATGTTGGGTTTCTTTCCATTTCCTCTGGAATCCTTAATGCTGTGGATTTCTAGTGGTCTTGCCAGAGAATTTGTGAGGTAGCTGATCCTTTGAGAAAGGGTAAGGCTTAAACCTTTGAGTAGGGAAGTTTCTCAAACTTGATAAAAGGAGTCTAATGATGGCAAGAGAGAGCGCCTAGGTGTAGGTTGGCAGAGAAATGAAAGGTGTGAAAATAAAGCAAAGAAAGTGCACAGTTCCTATGCTAAATCAGATGCCCTTGCCCTTAATGCTTATTCTTTCTTTTGTTCCTCTCTAGTGAAAAGCCAAAGCAATAATAAGAATAACAGAAGTTTAAAAAGATGTGTTGCTGCCAGGAGTCCTAGACCAGTGAGCATCACGTGAAATTCAGAATAAACGTAGAAAAAACTTGGCCCCTGTTTCATGTAGTGGCCAGTCAAAAGGAGGACTCTTTGTTTATTGCCCTCCAGTGTAGAACAAAGGGCTAGTACCAAGAATGTGGGTTCATATTGTTCCTTTCATAGCACAGGTGTACCTATAAACCTCCTTGGGCTTATGGTAATCACCGAAATGCATTTCTTTTCTTTCTTAACAAATATTCATTGCATGCTGTTTTGCTTACCTGTTGGCGTAATAATCTTACATAACAAACCACCCTGATACTCAGCTGCTCAAACAACAGTGACATTATTAAAGTGCATGAGTCACACACGAGTCTGAGAGTCCAGGCTCTGGGCCGTGCTGGGCTGCTGTGGACTGGTCTTGCTCAGGCTTCCCGGGGTTGGTTGGTTTTGTCAGCTGATCCCGGCTGGCCCTCTCTGATGTGACTGGAGTGACTGAACTCTGCTTCGTGTGGCATTCACCTTTGTCCTGGGACTAAGGAGTCACTCCACACATATCCTTCTCCTGGTAATTATAGAAACAAAAGAGGTAAGCTTCAATACACAAACCCATTTTAAGCCTCTGCCCCAATTGTCATGTCTGCTACAGCCCACTGATCAGAGCACGGAACAGTATTGAGGCCAGTGCCAGGAAACAGGACAGCGCAGGTCACCTAGGCCGTGGTGGAAGGACATCGCCAAGTAATAGGGCAGAGGGTGTGGATATGGGGAGGAATTGAGACCAAATGATCCATTCTACTCTCCGTGCTTACAGTGTGCCAGGCACTATCCAAGGCACTGGTGATAAGGAAAAACGGGGAAAAAAACAAATCTCTGCCTGTATATATCATTCTAGTGCTAGGGGACAGAAAGTAAGATAAATTATAGAGATGTTTGAAAATGATAATTGCTATGGAGAAAATTATAGCTGGCAGGTAGAATAGGAAGCTCAGGGGGTGGGAAAAGGCATGCAGTTCTAATGGGATGGATGGGAGAGGCTTTTCTGATAAGTGACTCCAGAGGAAAGATTTAAACTGAGCCCTGCAGGTGTGTGGGGGAAGGGTGTTCGTGGTGGAAGGGATACTGGGTGTAAAGGCCCACGGGTCGGAGCAGAGCTGGCAAGCTTCCAGGGCAGGAAGGACACCAGTGAGGCTGGACGTGAGAAGTGCAGTGCTAAGAGACGCAGCTCCAAATTGTGTAGGGTCCCCAGGTCGTTGTGCATTTACTCAAGTGAGATGCAGAGTTCTACATGGTTTGACTTATATTTTATCAGGCTCACTCTGGCTTCTGTGTCAAGGGTAGTCTGTAGGAATGCAGTGGTGAGGGGTGCCTGGGTGGCTCAGTCGGTTAAGCGACTGCCTTCGGCTCAGGTCATGATCCTGGAGTCCCGGGATCGAGTTCCGCATCAGGCTCCCTGCTCAGCGGGGAGTCTGCTTCTCCCTCTGACCCTCTTCCCTCTCGTGCTCTCTATCTCTCATTCTCTCTCTCTCTCAAATAAATAAAATCTTAAAAAAAAAAAAAAAAGGAATGCAGTGGTGGAAGCAGGGAGACCAGTTGGGTGCCTGTTGCCAGAATCCATTAAGGGATGATGATGTCCTGGACCAGGGTAGATCCAAGAGGTAGGATTGTAGAAGGGGCGAGGCATGGCTGGATTGTGTGTGTGTGTGTGTGTGTGTGTGTTGATGGTGGAACTAGCAGAAATTGCCAACAGAGTGGATAGGAGTTGTAATAACAAAGTACCACAGACTTGGTGGTTTAAACAATAGAAATTTATTTTCTCCTACTATCTTTTTTTCTCACAGTTTTGGGGACTAGAAGTCCAAGATCGAAGTATCAGCAGATTTGGTTCTTTCTGTGGGCTGTAAGGGAAGCATCGGTTACAGGCCTCTCTCTTTGGCTTGCAGATGGCCTCCTTCCTGCCTCTTTATGTGTTTGTGTCCAAATTTCCTTTAGTCATAGAGACACCAGTCATATTGGATTGAGACCTGCCCTCATGGCCTCATTTTAACGAAGTCGCCACTGTAAAGACCCTGTCTCCAAACACAGTCACATTCTGAGGTGCGAGGGGTGAGGACTTCAATCTGTGAAGTTTTAGGGGGACACAATTCAGGCCATAACATGGAATGTGAGAGAAGGAAAAGAATCAAAGGTGATATCAGGGTTTTTGACCTGGTGGAGTGGTCATTAACTGAAATGGCGAGGACTATAGGAGAAAATGTGTTTTCAATCTGGGAACATCAAGATTGAGAACTGGATATCCAAGTGGGAATGTTGACTAGGCAGCTGAATAGTCATTTCTGGGGCTTGGGGGCGAGACTGGAGCAGGAGATACAAATGTGGGAGTCACTGGCACAGAGATGCCATTAAAATCAGGAGACTAGGCAAGATGGCCAGAGAGCAAATGGAGGTAAAGAGAGCCAAGATGGAACCCTGGGCACTCCTACATCAAGAGGCCAGAAAAAAGAGAAACACCCAACAAAAGAGGCTGAGAAAGAGGTAGGAGGGAACCCAGGGGTGTGTCACGTTCTGGAAAATGACATGTTAAGCAGGAGAGGTCAGGAAAGGTGAGGGCCAATGATTGGTCATTGGATTTATACTGTGTGGTCACTGATGACCTCAATGCGAGTAGCTTCAGCAGAGTATTGGTGGCAAAAGCCTAATTTGTGAACATTCAAGAGAAAATCAGAGTGGAATTGGAGGAAGTATTTACACTTCTTTTTTTTTTTTTTAAGATTTTATTTATTTATTTGACAGAGAGAGAGAGACAGTGAGGGAACACAAGCAGGGGGAGTGGGAGAGGGAGAAGCAGGCTCCCCGCAGAGCGGGGAACCCGATGTGGGGCTCGATCCCAGGACCCTGGGATCATGACCTGAGCCAAAGGCAGACGCTTAACCGACTGAGCCACCCAGATGCCCCAAGTATTAACACTTTTGAGTAATGTCGCTGAAAAGAGAAGGAGCAAAATCGCAAATGTTAAAAATACACATATTTTAATCTATAATTAGTGGATTATTAGATATATGTATATCATGGCTATATACAAAAATGTACTGGTAGTATCATTTATATACACATATATTTAGATACGCACATATAAAAATATGTATATTGAGCAGACAAGCGAAACACTACTACTCAGTTTTTCCCTGGGTGTGGTAGAAATGATGGTAAAAACAGGCTTGTGTTTTTTTTTTCTTTTTTTCTGGTCATTGTAGTATTAATTATATGAAGCTTGGATTTTCTTTATTTCCAGGTTTAAGAAGTTCGATGACAAATACTTGCGGAAGCTTTTGATTCGGGAAAACCAACCCAAGTCAAGCATTGTGTCGTTATATAAAAAGCTGGAAATAAAACATGCCATCGAGATGGCGGAGACGGGGATGATAAGCGCGGTTCCTTCCTTTGCCTCTCTGAAGTAAGTACCATTTTGCAAATAAAAGTTACTACCACTAAGTCCGTCTTTCTAGTTTTTTGACACCAGTAAGAGTAACAGATTTCCCCTATGTCCTAGACATCACGGAAGAATGAGATTCTGGTTAAACTGTGAACCCTAGAAATGTATACCTTCCTTTATGTCACCCCAGGTCGCATTGTGTTGTGTTATTTTACAACTGGCTAGTCAGAAAAATACTTTGTCATGTTTAGGACGACTATGTCTTTGTTATATTTTCTTGCGGTAACTCGTTGCTTTGTTAAGGTGCCTCTTTAGCAAGCATTTTGAAATGGAATATCTTAAGGTGTGCAATTGTAAATATGCATGTAATTATATAGCTATTTTCTCATAGATTATTCATAAAGTCATAGTTTAAGGCTGGTAAAGAACATTAGTGATCATCTGGTACAGGGGTTCCCAACCTAGGCTGTACATTAAAAATATCCTAAGAGTTGGGGCGCCTGGGTGGCCCAGTTGGTTAAGCAACTGCCTTCAGCTCAGGTCATGATCCTGGAGTCCCAGGATTGAGTCCCGCATCGGGCTCCCTGCTCAGCAGGGAGTCTGCTTCTCCCTCTGACCCTCTTCCCTCTCGTGTTTTCTATCTCTCATTCTCTCTCTCTCTCAAATAAATAAATAAAAAAAAATCTTTAAAAATATCCTAAGAGCATTTAAATAATACACATGTCCAGGCCCCACCCACACCAGTAAAACCCAAATCTCTGGTGGTAAGGCCCAGGTATGGGTATATTTTATTTATAAGTTCTTCAGATATTTCCAATATGTAGTCAGGTTTGAGAGCCAATGATCTAGTCTGTCTCCCTACTTTTAAAAAATGAGGAAATGAAGATTCAGAATGGTAAAGTGACTTACCCAAAATCTTATAGCAAATCCATAGCAGAACTGTAAACGCTCAGTTAACAGTAGGTCATTTTGTCATGTAAACATCCATCCTTCCCTGCCAAAAATATGACAGAAATTACAGGTTCTGCTGATTTCTTCCTTCACTGATGAGCTTGAAGTACATTTAAAATACATGTCACCTAATTAAAATGCTATCTATGGGAGAGCTGAAATGAGATAGGAAACTCCAAATCACACCCAACCATATAAACTAGGATTTTTACCAAGACCGTAAATCCCCTATTAAAAATATGGGAGTTTAGGGGCGCCTGGGTGGCTCAGCGGTTGGGCGTCTGCCTTCGGCTCAGGTCGTGATCCCAGGGTCCTGGGATCGAGCCCCGCATTGGGCTCCCCGCTCAGCGGGAGGCTTGCTTCTGCCTCTCCCTCTCCCCCTGCTTGTGTTCCCTCTCTCGCTGTCAAATAAATAAATAAAATCTTTTAAAAAAAAAAATATGGGTGTTTACACAATCCAGAATAAAAAGAAATAGTGGTCAGGATGGCTTGTAGCTAAAGGCATTATACTGCACTAAAAACAGTAGTGGTGTGAGCAGAGTGACTGATTTATAGTCCCATCCTGCAATAATTCACTGTGTGACCTTAAGCTGGGTCATCTGTTTCCCTGAGATTGAGTTTCTTCCAAGTAGAAAATGGGGCTAGACTTGATCTTTGTTTCCCTCTAGCTCTACAAGTTCACGATCTTTCTTATGCACTATTCCATTTGCAGTTGTAGCAAGGGATAATTCAATTATTCAGCTTCACAAGGGAGAGCCATTGTCTTTGTGATCACAGAAGATAAAATATCTTAGTTTTACTCCCTGCTTATAGTTCATTTAGGAACTGGTAGTAAGCAGAGCAAAGGCAAAGGTTATGGAAGTAGGTAGCAGAGTTAATGGTCAGCTGCATGGTTAGATAAATCAGTACCATATTGACCAGTCCACATCTCCTGAAATGTTTTCTTTAGGGAAAATTAGAAGCAAAAAGCGAGGTAATAAAGGAATTGTATTTCTGACAGTAATGGACTAAGTGTTCTAGACCAAACTATCCTATGAAAACAACTAGAAAAAAAGGACAAAATATATTTTAAAAATCTGCTTAAAAGCTGGAAAGTACCAGTAAAATGAGGAATTTCTTGGCCAAGAGTCAACAGAAAAGAGAAGTCCAAGAAGATGGAACCGGCATTTAGTGCCCTTTTTTCCCTGGATCACAGAGAAATTACCTGAGAGTCTAAAAGGCTAAAACAAAAGTTTTGACAGACTGATTGGTCTTCGAGAATAAAATTGGAATTTAGGACCTACCAAGAAGGAGGAGCTCTTGTACTCAGCTATAGGTTATTACTTCAGAATTCTACACCTTAACCCTCAAAGGAAAGAAGTCTGACCTAGAATTATCTCAATCCATGATTGTTTAAATTATCTGAGATTGAGATTACTTTTATCCCAGCTGACTGAGAGAAATAAACTTAAATCTTCTCTGGAGGAAAATAAGATTTTAAAGAGTCTTAAACTACCTCCATAATTTTTCATATATAATGTCAAAAGCATATGAGTAGACAAGGAAATGTTACTGGAAACTTTGAGAAAAAGATAAACAAAAACTGTAGTAACAGACACAAGTGGGTTTCAGATAGTTGAGTTAGGGGCTTTAAAATTAAAAGTATGTATGGGCGCCTGGGTGGCTCAGTCGGTTGAGCGACTGCCCTCGGCTCGGGTCATGATCCTGGAGTCCCGGGATCGAGTCCCGCATCGGGCTCCCTGCTCAGCGGGGAGTCTGCTTCTCCCTCCAACCCTCCCCCCTCTCATGTGCGCTCTCTCTTTCTCATTCTCGCTCTCTCAAATAAATAAATAAAAATCTTTAAAAAAAATAAATAAAATTAAAAGTATGTTTAAGGAAAGAAAATGGCATCAACACTATTGACATTGAAATAAATAAAAATCTTTAAAAAAATAAATAAAATTAAAAGTATGTTTAAGGAAAGAAAATGGCATCAACACTATTGACATTGGAGATGATATAAATAAAAAGATCTAAGTGGAATAGTTGAGCTAAAAATTCAATTTAGGATCTCATTTGATAGTGTACAAGTAGATTAGACACAGCTGTAGAGAGAATCGATCGATTGGAAGATAGTACAGAAAGAATAATCAGAATGAAGAATAGAGTGAAAAAAAAATGGAAAATATGGAAAACAAAATAAGAAATATATGGGATACTGTGAAAAGTTCCGAAAGGAAATGAGAGATAAATTAGTAGGAATAGTATTTTAAGAGATCCTGACTGAGCATTTCCCCAAACAGATAAAAGACATGAACTATGACAAGCCCCAAGCAGATTAAATAAGAAGAAAACCAAAACCAAATGCTAGTAAAACTGCTACAAGTCAAAAACACAAAGAGAAAATTTTAAACATAATCAGAGGAAAGAAGAGACCTATTTTCTTCAAAAGAGAGAAAAAAAAAACGCTGACAACTGATTTTTTAACAAAAGCCATGGAAACCACTGGTATCGTCCAAATTCTGAAAGAAAGTGACTGATGACTTAGGGTTCATATCCTGCTAAAATATTGTTCAAAAAAAGTAGAATAAAAGTATTTTCAGATAAATAAAAAACCATCATACTAAATTGAATGATAAAAAGTTTCAGACAGAAGGAAGAGTCTCCTAGAGAAGCTTGGAGATTAAGGAAGGAATTAAAATAATGGAAATGATGAATATTTGTAAAACTTAAATGAATAGTAATTGCATAAAATAATAATGTCTGTGGGGTTTTGAATGTAAATAGAATTAAAACTAACAACAAAAATAGCTTATAAAATTGGAGGGAGGTGACTGGTGTTGTTGCATTCTAATGTTGTAATCCCAGGTAACCACTAAAAAACAGTAAAAGAATGTAACAAGCTAACAGAATAGGGAAATAAAAAGCAAAATAAAATAAAATTGAAAAAGGCAACAAAGTAGAAAAAACAATTATAGAACAAATAGAATGCAAATAGTAAGATGATAGTTTTGAACCCAAAGATAATTACATTAAATATAAATTTATTACATTTAAAAGGATGGATGATCAGAATGGATGAAAATATACACCTCACTAGATGTTGCTTATAAGAGATAGTACAGAGTTTACAAAGATACAAAGATATCTTGTTGAAGCACTAAACAAAAGAAAGTTTGTGTAATTATTACCATAAAATGTAAACATTATGAGGAAAATATTGCTAGGCATAAAGAGATTCATTTCATAATGATAAAAGGTTTAATTCTAAAAGAAGATATAAAAGTCTAGATTAGCATACAAATAATAACATAGCCTCAAAATATATAGACCACAACTTGACAGAGCCACAAGTAGAAATACACAAACTCATAATCATAGTGGATAATTGTATTGCTCTTCTCCTATAAACTGATAGTACAAGCAGACAAACTTTCAGTAAAGATATAGAAGATTTCAACTACATAATAAACAATCAAGTCTTTAAAAGTTTCATATAGGGTATGTTCCCTTACCAGAGGGAATCAAAAACAAAATAAAATATAAAACAATATAAAAAGTGAAATCTCCCTTTATTTAGAAGTTGGATAAAAACTGGATCAAACAAATTATGATGTAAATCAGAAAATATTTTGAAAAATGCGATGTATGAAAACTTGTGTAAAGCATTGTTTAAAGGGAAATTTTTTAAACCTTTAATGAAAATGTTAAAAATAAAGTCAGGCTGAAAATCAATAATCCATGCTAGGAAATTAGAAAAAGGAACAACAAATTAAACCCATAAAAGACCAGAAAGGCTGAATAGTACTCTAAGTATTAAGTAAATAAATCTGTAATTGAAATTGTTTCCACAGAGTAAACCCCAAGACCATATGGCTTTATTTGTAAATTCTACCAAACATTTAAAGAGGAGATAAAACCAATCTTGCACAGACTTCTTCAGAAAGTAAGAAAAGATGGAAATCTTCCCAAATTGCCTTATGGGACTAGCATAATTTTGGTATTGAACCTGACAAAGACACTTATACAGAAGGAGAATTATAATATTTCTGTAAAAATTATAAACATAATATTAGTGGGGTGCCTGGGTGGCTCAGTCGTTAAGCGTCTGCCTTCAGCTCAGGTCGTGATCCCAGGGTCCTGGGATCGAGCCCCGCATCGGGCTCCCTGCTCTGCAGGAAGCCTGCTTCTCCCTCTCCTACTCCCTCCGCTTGTGTTCCCTCTCTCGCTGTGTCTCTCTGTCAAATAAATAAATAAATAAAATCTTAAAAACAAAAAACAAAAAAACCCCATAATATTAGCAAACCAAGTCCAGAGATATATAAAAAAGATATATATCACAATAATTTTGACTTATTCCAGGAATATAAGGGTAGCTTAAAAGTTAAAAAATCAGTTATTTGCCACTTTTACAGAATAAAGGAAGAAAAATCAAAGGTTATTATTTATCTGTAATAGAGGAAGAGAAATTGTATGATAAAATTCAGTATCTATTCTTGATTTTTTTTTAAAGATTTTATTTATTTATTTATGAGAGAGAGAGAGAGAGAGCACGCAGGCAGGGGGAGGAACAGAGGGAGAGGGCCAAGTAGACTCTACACTGAGCTCAGAGCCTGACACAGGGTCCAATCTCATAACCCTGAGATCATGACCTGAGCCAAAATCAAGAGTTGGACACAACCAACTGAGCCAGCCAGGTGCCTCTCTATTCTTGATTTTTTAAAAAAAATCTAAATAGACTAAGAATAGAAGAAATCCTTTCTCAAGCTGATAAAGTTTATTCACGAATAATCTATGGCAAATAATATTTTTAATGTTGAAATGTTGAAAGGTTTATACTAAGATCTGGAACACAGATGCCTATTATTACTATTTCTATGAATATTTTACCAATGCTAAGCAAAAAAAAAAAAAAAATTAAAGATTAAGGATAGGAAAAGAAGTAAAGCTTTCATTATTCCCAAACAGCTTAATTGTTTTCACAGAAAATCCAAAAGAACCTACAGATAAATAATTAGACATAATAAGTAAATTTATCCAGGTTTCTTAATACATGGTAAAAAAAAAAAATCAGTGGTAGTTTTCATAAGTATCAACAAACAGAAAGTGACGTTTAAAAAATTGCTTAATTTAGAATAGTATTGTGAGACATATACATCAATATCAAACATCAAAATGAAATTTAGAGAATATATGCAAAACCTCTCCACAGAAAGTCCAAAACAGATAAAGACTGTATTACTAAAAAGAAAGACTCAATATTATAAGATTTTCAATTCTTCTCAAATTGATCTGCAGATTCAAAGCAATTCCATTAAAAATTCCAATGTATTTGTGTGTGGGTGTGTCATTAGACGGTCTGGTCTTAAAATTTCTATGGAAATATAAAGGGCCCAAAGTAACCAAGACAAAATTGTCTTCAAAACTGAACAACAAATTTAGAGGATTTATACTGTTACGCAGCAAGACTTTCTGTAAAGCTCCCATGACTGAGACAACGTGATACTGGACAAAGACAAAAGGACAAACAGACCAGTGGAACAAAGTAAGAGTTTGGAATACACCCACACATATATGGATACTTATTAATGCCCAAGTTTACATTACAAAGCAGTAGGAAAAAGATGACCTTAAAGAAATGGCCCTGGGTCAATTAGGGATCCATATGGAGATAAAGTGAAATTGAACAGTACTTCACATTATATCAAGCCAAGGAGTATCATAGGTATGTATGGGAGTGGGGAAACAATAAAGCTTTTGAAAATTATATGAGAGAATATCCTGTTACTGTTGTGATAGGAAAATATTTCATTATAGGAATGAAAAGGCAAGCCATAAAATGGAAGAAGATACTTGCCTCACATAAAACTGAGAAAGGTCTAAAAAAAAAAAAAGATAGTCCCATGGAATAATGGACAAGAGACTTGTTCAGGCAGTTTACAAAATAGGGTATCCAAATGGTCAATAATCAATCATATGTGTTCAAAAATAGATACATGCAAATACACATAAAAGCATTGTTTGTCATATCCAAAATTCAGAAATAAGGCAAATACCCATCAAGAGTAAAATGGATAAATTGTTATATATTCATGTAGTGGGATATTATACAATGAATAAAATGAATAAACCACAGCTACGTGCGATAACACAGATGAATCTCCAACACAATGCTAAGCAAAAGAAGCTAAATTTAAAAGACTACCTATTGTAAATAAATGAATGAATGAATGAATGAATGAATGAATGAATGAATAACTGACTACCTATTGTGATAGTAGGTACACTTCATTTATATAGAGCTCAAATTCAGGTGCAACTATTCTGTCAACTCAGAAGTTAGGATAGTGGTTGTTTTGTCAAAGAGGGAGCAAAGTAGTGATTGTTGGGGGGTGGAATATGATGTGGTTTCTGGGGTTTTAGTTCATGTTCTGTTTTTTGACTTGGGTAGTGGTTATACAAGTACATTCACTTTGTGATAGTTCATTGAGCCGTACATGTAAGATTCATGTACTTTTCTCTTTTGAATTACATTCCAATAAAATATATTTTAAGTATAAACAAGGGAGGTAGTTGTGCACTTATCTCTAGAGTTATACAAACATTTGTTGGATAAAATAAGACTATCAGATCCCCGAAAGATTGTTACCTCTTGAACTTGTAAGTCCTTCTAAAATTCTGTGAATTAACTTTGCTGATCAAAAAACCTGATTAGAAACCCAGACAGCTGTCTAAACAATGCCTCAGTCTAAGAAGATGCTTCTTAAAAACTCATCCAAGCAATTGAGGTTGGGGCAAAAATGGATCCTTTATATCTAGAGAAGTCTGTTCTGCTGAAGCCTTAGATTTCTGTGTTCATTCCTTTGTGTTTCTCCATTACCCTTTGGGCAAAGGTGATTAATATTATGCTTGTTTTTCAGTAACAACAAGTTTGCATTAAAAATAAATAAGAAAACTGTGCTCTTCAATTAGAATGTCCCTAGCCCATCTTCTGTAAGACCTGCATTAATATATATTAGCCTTCTCAGCTTTAATTTATCTTCTTATCTATGTACTTTATTGTACTATATATTTTTGTAGGGCCCCTCAAAGCCTTTTTGAAGGAGTTGGAATAAAACCATATAAGTACAGTTGGTTCTCATTGTGGGCAGTAGTTATGTTTTATAAAATTGCCATGAACACGGATTTGGGAATACCGAACCCTTGCTCCTAGGGGAAATGCAGGATTAGTTTCTTGTGAGCTTCTGGTCACAACATTTTCATTAACCATTCGATATATAACCTTGTTTTATGTATGTTTCTATTTGAAGACACCTTATTTAATATAGTTTCATTAACACTCCACTCCTGGCCAATAGCACCATAACTCATGCTGAACGAAGTTCATCTGACATGACTTTTCTTTGGAAGGCACATCACAGCTTCCTTTTGCTCAGGAATGTTCGACAGCACTTTAGACCTATGCTTGGGGGCCATTTTAAATAGTGAAGTCACCAAACAGAAAGCAGAAAAATATGAAAAATATGTCATTAAATAGACCATGGAAAGGACGTTTGTTTACAGTACAGGAGCTGAAACAAGAAGGCACAGCATCGCCATGTTCAGCCTCATCTAGGAACTTGTGCATTGGGGAACTCAAATTTTCCCCCACTTGGCACATGTCTATGAAAAAGTGTCATGAGTATTGGCACCGTGTTTACAAATAAATTTAAGCAAGTAGGTGACTTTGCAAATATGAAATCCTTGAATAATGGTGATTGACTGTATACACACACGTATTATAAATGGTGTCTTTGAAAATGTTTTTAATGAAATGTTTAAAAGACTAGGCCTTAATAATTAGCAAAATGTAGGTAATTAAGTTTCTGTTGGAAAAAACCCAATTGTGTATTACCTTTTTTTTTTTTTAAAGATTTTATTTATTTGAGAGAAAGAGAATGAGAGAGAGAGAGAGCATGAGAGGCGGGGAGGGTCAGAGGGAGAAGTAGACTCCCCGCTGAGCAGGGAGCCCGATGGGACTTGATCCTGGAACTCCAGGATGATGACCTGAGCCGAAGGCAGTCGCTTAACCAACTGAGCCACCCAGGCACCCTGTGTATTACCTTATTAATAGAGTATTAATAATAATAAAGTGATAGCATTATAAGCTACTACAGTTTTTCTTCCTTAAAGAATACTTGTGTGGAAAAAAAATAATTGCATGAACAGACTCTGAAAACCTGTGCATGACTAAACTCCTTTTGAATAATTTTAACACTGAAAAGTTTTAGAAGTTTGAGTTATTTTAAAATATTGAATACTCCTTAAGTGTTATTCTTTAAGCTAAGATTCTTAATCTTAAATGATATTCTTCTTAAATGATATTATATCTCCAAAAAGGAAAATTTAGGATTCCAGTGTTTGTTGAATAGTAAAAGATATTCTTTTTCCAACCTTTCACAGTGATTGTCGTGAAGAAAAAATAAGGAAGCTCACACCTGGTGAAATGGATGAAATTCGAGAAATATTATCCAGAAATCTCTATCAAATCCGTCAGCGAGTGAGAATAATTTATTTAGCCAAATGTTTCCTTGCCTCTGGCTAAAAATATGCCTTCTGATTTCATGCTACTCAGTTGTAGCAGAGGTCGCCCAACCATTACGGCTACCTTTTGCATGTCCTACATCAGGCATCTTCTCTTCTCTGGGAGTCCTATCTTGTTAGGGTACCACTCCCTCTCAGACACCATGGGGAAAGCCTGGAGTCCCCCAGGAGTTCTGCTACTATGGAGATAAAAGCATCTGAGTTAACTAATTGTGGCTCTCTTTTTATTATTTTAATGAAATTGCTTTATGGCTTATAGAAAACTTATTAAAATGTATTTAATCTTTCTTGTTATTCGTAAAGTGCTATAGTTTCTTCCTTTAATGTATCTCCCAAGTGACTTCTTTCACTGCTGTTCCATTGTTTTTGTTTTTTTTTTTTAATAAGGATTTTATCTATTTGAGAGTGAGAGAGAAAGAGAGAGCACAAGCTGGGGGCAGGGGCAGAGGCAGAGGGAGAAGCAGACTCCCCTCTGAGCAGGGAGCCAGATGTGGGGCTCGATCCCAGGACCCTGCGATCATGAGCTGAGCCAAAGGCAGCTGCTTAACCGACTGAGCCACCCAGGCATCCCTGCTGTTCCATTGTTAACACTTCATTCTACCAATTGGCTAATAATATAGCTAACATTTTGAGGGTGCATACAGTTGGCCATGCCCCACTGCAACATGTATTAACTCAATCCTCCAAGCAGTGTTACTATTGTTTTCATTTCATTTTATTTTATTTTATTTAAAAGATTTTATTTATTTATTTGAGAGAGAGAGAATGAGAGATAGAGAGCACGAGAGGGAAGAGGGTCAGAGGGAGAAGCAGACTCCCTGCTGAGCAGGGAGCCCGATGTGGGACTCGATCCCGGGACTCCAGGACCATGACCTGAGCTGAAGGCAGTCGCTTAACCAACTGAGCCTCCCAGGCGCCCACTATTGTTTCCATTTTATAGATGAATAAATTAAGGTACAGTGAGGGGGGAGGTGTCACACAGTCCACACCGTATGTCAGGAGACTTCCTCATTCCTGTTGGGGTCATTTCTATGTATGGGGTCCTTGCTGGTCTCCCCAAAGGCTGTCCTCATTCCATTACTCATTACTGTTGTTTCGCATTTCCCCTACAGCACCTTTTTTTTTTTTTTTTAAGATTTCATTTATTTATTTGACAGAGCTAGCAAGAGAGGGAACACAAGCAGGGGGAGTGGAAGAGGGAGAAGCAGGCTTCCCGTCGAGCAGGGAGCCCGATGCGGGGCTCCATCCCAGAACCCTGGGATCGTGACCTGAGCCGAAGGCTCCCTGCCTTCCTAGAAAAATATATATTTATTCTATCAGAAAATGAACTTGACTACTAATTGCAATTCATTTTAGGAAACTTATAAAACTAAAAACGTATGCCATGCGCAACCCTGGTTTAGAAATTTTACTGTTTCAAATACTAGCACGTGGTTATTGCTGATTCTAGCAACAGCTTTTTCCAGTTTGACAACCCAGTTGAAAAGAAGTGTTAAGTTAATCAAAAGGACATGGCACCACCAAGTGGCCCAAAGTGGTTTGTTTTTACACCAGTAATTCCTATTCAGTAGAGAATGTATAAAGATAAATTGTATTTTTTCCCCAGCTGTTAATGATGGCTAAATACATACAGAGTAGTTCAAGGTAGATAGAAGTGCTTGATAAATTCTATCATTCTTTCGATTTATGAAGATCACACTTTGCAGTGAAAAATAACTTACAGGGCAGGGCGCCTGGGTGGCTCAGATGGTTAAGCGTCTGCCTTCGGCTCAGGTCATGATCCCAGGGTCCTGGGATCGAGTCCTGCATCAGGCTCCCTGCTCCTTGGGAGCCTGCTACTCCCTCTGCTTCTCTCTCTGCTTCTCTCTCTCTCTCTCTCTCCCTCTCCCTCTCTCTCTCTCCGTCTCTCATGAATAAATAAATAAAATCTTTAAAAAAAAAAGAAAAATAACTTACAGACTTTTATTAGAAGACAAGTGCTTTCAAACTTAGAATGAATGTCAACTTTTTTTTTTTACGCATGTTAACTTTTATGCTTTCTATTTATTTTTCTGCTCTGCACATTCTTAAGTGCCTTACTCAGGTGCAAAGCCAAAGCAACATAGTAACATTTTGGGATCTCTAGGGTAGCAATCAGTTCTTGCAAAATGTCTCTTGTGTTCTCATTTCAGACTTTGTCCTACAACAGACACAATCTGACAACTGACACAAGTGAGCGACAAGCCAAGGAGATTCTAATCAGACGGAGGCACAGTTTGCGAGAAAGTATCAGGAAAGACAGCAGTTTAAACCAGGAAGGCAGGGTAACTGCTGTTTGTTACTATTTGTCTGGGACGTGGAAGGCTTCCAAGAGTAGAGCCAACAGCCATTCCTGGAGGCCCTACTGACAGAATGGCCGCTGAGGGTTGATTCATGGGAATTCTGGGATGCAAAGTATAAAGGCTTTCTAGATGTTTCTAGAACATCTGTTGTATTCCAGGCACTGTTGTAGGCACTTGAAATATGTTGGTGAACGAAACAGACCAAGATACCTTTGCTTGTAGAATTCATAGTCTAGTGGGGGAGAAGGTGCCCAGCAATGGAATGTGTTATCCATTATGTTAGTAGGCAGTGAGTGCTGTGGAGAAAAACAGTGCTTGAGGAGGGAGACTGGGAGGACAGGAAAGGGTCAGTCAAGTTGCAAATCTGAACAGCATGGCTGGACCAAGCTACATTTGGAAAGTCTAATTGGATCTCCCCAGGGAGAGGTTGCAGCCCAGAGATGGGCAAGCTGTTTGTGCCGCAACTGTAGAATCACAGCAACCGGAGGGGGGGGGGTGCGAGTGTCCACCTTTTCACTTGGCGCAGGGCACTGTCACCAGACAAGGAAAATCATTTTTAAATGACATTACGATTGATTTCACACAGCAGACATTGCATCTTAGTATTATTTTTTGAGTATAATTGACACACAAGTCTGCATTAGTTTTAGGACTGCATCTCATTTTTATTTATTTATTTATTTATTTATTTATTAAAGATTTTAATTTATTTGTTGGAGAGAGAGAGAGCGCAGAAGCAGGGGGAGGGGCAGGCAGAGGGAGAAGCAGGCTCCCCGCTGAGCAAGGAGACCGATGCCAGGACTCCAGGATCATGACCTGAGCCGAAGGCAGACGCTTAACTCACTTAGCCACCCAGGCGTTCCTGGATTGCATCTCATTTTTAATAATATTCTGTATTGGGTCATCAGAGACCAAAATGGTAATATGTGAACAAGAAGATTATTATTTTTTTTTTTATGTGAAAATGTGGCAGAACTGATGAAGAGTTAAAGAAAGTAGAGATTGTGGCATTTGAATTGTCAGCCAATTAGCTTTGGTAATACTTTTCATTCTATCATTTTCAAGACTCACTAAAGTAATTAAAACTTAAACATGCTACATTTTTCATATATTTTCTTTCTATATGTATAGGTTCTACTTCTTTTTTAGTAATACTCATATAAATAGGTGTCTTTATAGCTTCTCTTTAAGAAGACTCAATGGTTTTCATTATTATTTCATTATTCTTATTTCTAATGGTCCCATTTTATTTTCATTTTCCTTAATACTGATTTCTATTACATTTTAGAAGAGATTTCGTTGTTTTAAGTGAAATAATTATTGCATGGAGCTTTATTCACCATCCCCACAGCTCCTCACAGAGTAATTTTGGAACAGAGAAGTATGATTTTAATTTTTAACATCAGGGTTTGACATAAGATTTTAAATTTCTGATACACAATAAATGACATCTGCATAGTCTAAATAAGATTTTCCATGTTTTCCACAGGCTTCCACTTCAACCTCTCGATATTTGTCCTTACCCAAAAACACAAAGCTTCCAGAAAAGCTACAAAAGAAAAAGAATATGTCTAATGCAGGTAATGAATTCAGTTGGCGCAGAATGAGTAAATTTATCTACTAAGGTTCATAAAATAGAGAATTTCCCCATTCTTTGTCTTCATTAAGGATAATGAGGTTAATGATTTGCAAGTCTAAAATAAGACTGTGGTGACTTATTAGCATCGTAAGCTTTTTGGATGGAGCTTCTGTACACATTAAAAGTAACTGAGTCCATTATTTTCCCATAATAATTCTACTGGATATAGCACAAGCAAACGCTGCTACCTGTGCTTAGTGAACAGGTAAACAGAAAGTTATAAATTTGCAAAGGTGTATTTAAATTTTTACAATTTTCATATATTTTCATACAGGCAGCCATAAATTTTACTTCTGCCCCAAATCATTAAAGCTTTGGCATATAAAGTCTAATATCTCTTGATTTAATGATAATCTTCATGTAGTCTCCAAGCCATTTTCTGTGAACCCCAGAGGACGTATGTTAGGATACCATGTTATTAAAATGTGGGATGTAAGAGTCCCCCCCCTTTATTTTTGGTTGTTTATTTAAATAAGCAAGAAGAGGAAAGTCTGATGATGGCTGGTGGTGATGATGGTGAGATGAGAAATGAGAAGGGAGGCCGGGCAGCACTGAGTACTTAGGGCAGGGCCAAGTCACCACTGCGCGTCCACGAGAATCTCAGCTGGTGCCCATCGTTCTCTAGAACCTGAATTTTGACAACCAGCTAGTTCTTATCATGTGTCCCATCAACGGTCCCATTGTTTGGAAAGTGCACATTGGTGTTTCAGCTCTTTTATGAAAATAAAAAGGAGATAAAGAAGGTTGTCTCTGAGATTCCAGATCAAGTCACGAGTTTTCATAATAGCAGCTAATTGCTGTTCTTTCTGTGTGCCAATCACGGAGCTGAGCCCTCCTGGAAGCGTTCTGCTGGGGCAGGTGGGAACCCAGTGCTGCTGCTGCCTGAGACACTCACTTTGCTAGCCAGCTCCACCGCTCACTAATACCTCTTGAACTTCAGTGACTTCCCCTGGCAAATGGGTGATTGTGAGGATTAAATAGGTGAATGCATTTAAAAGTGCTTATTATCATGACAGTAAGCCCTTCAACGTGGGTGTGAGCATTCAACATTAAGGCCCACAGAGATCATGCCTCATGCCCAGGTCTGGGGGCTAGAGGTAGTGAGCCCTCTGACCCGCCCCTGTCCAGCCCCCAGGGCCCGAGGGCACAGCAGGTGCTGGACCTACTCATGCACTGCTGAGTCACCTACAGTCCCTTCTCTCTCAAATGCTTGCCCATGTTGTCCTTCTTTTGCTCTGTGGCAGGCGGCAATAGCAGCGACTCAGAGACAGACGCTGGGACCACCGTCCTCAATTTGCAGCCCCGAGCAAGGCGCTTCTTGCCAGAACAGTTCTCAAAGAAAGCCCCACAGTCCTATAAGATGGAATGGAAGAACGAGGTAGACGTTGATTCCGGACAGGGGCAGCCTTGTACCCCTCCAGCTCCCCACAGCAAAGAGGGGGGCACCCCGACCCCAGGCGTGCTGCGGCAGCCCCTTCTCTCCAAAGGCCAGTTTGGCCCAGTGCAGGAAGACCGTGGGACTGAAGGCGTCCGACCCAAGCCGCCACCCAGGCTGGTCCGGAGGGCATCGGAACCCGGCAACCGGAAAGCCCGATTTGGAAGTGAGAAGCCTTAATGGAAATGGCCAAAGCAGGCCTGCGGTGACTGACCCGGCATGGCTGGGGCTTGTTATGCTGAAACCTGACACAACAGTGGGATCCATTTAATACCCTCTATGCATCTAAATACTTTCTTTGGGTAGTAGAGTCATGCCATTGATTGACGGGATGAATGCTTAACCCAAGAAGAGGAAAATCAAAGAAAAAAGCCCCATAAAATGCCTTTTATGACTTCTCGCTAGCAGTTGTATTCTTTGCAAGCCTAAAGAAAAAAAATTGTGTGCCTTTATTGAACTTGAATGACAGAACTTGAAATTTTGAACACACCCATGTTGGTGAAAATTTTAATATATACATACATGCCTCAAATTTTATTTATGGAAACCTATGTATATCTGTAATCAGTTTTTAAGCAAAGGGCGCTAAAAATGCTCCACGTCTTTCCAAGGCGTAAAGGAGGATGGTGGGCCATCTGCTTGGAGTCAAGGTGTTTCCCCATTCTGAGCTGACCAGCAGTGGGTAAAGGGAGACCACAGCATGGAGCAGGGATGCCTGGTGAGCTCAGCCTGGGGAGGCGGTCAGAACGTCTGGGCAGATGAGGAGGCCTGGCTCCCAGAGCGCAGATTCCTGTGAAATAATGAGTCATCTGGATTTAATTTGTTCCTCACGCTACCGTACATTTGAGGGTGACCGAGAGATTCCATCTCTCTTTTGTGTTTGGTGCAAAGAGAAAGGCTGTGTGGGTGACACGATGTAGGACAGACTCGGTGGCAGCTTTTGATGAAGTTCCAACGTGTGGGCCTCATGTTGTTTGTGGGAAGACAAGGCTGCACCTGCTTACAACTTGTTGGCAGGTTTTATATTGTGCAATACTGGAAGGAGGATGCAGAAGATTCCCTTTCATGCCCATCTATGACTACCTGCTTTAGAATTTTTCTGTAGAACATTCTAGAACTTTGAAAACAGGTCAGAGGCTCCAAGCAGACAGTTTATATTATATAAACAGTATTCCAATGTTTAACAAATTGGTGAGAGTTCAGGTTTTGAAATTTATTCAGGAAGCACTTTGGAGAATATAGGAGTTCTATTTTTGTTTTTTTTTTTTGCACTAGTCTGTAATTTGTTACCTCTCCACCCTCAATAAAGTAGTGACTCAAATTCTTCATATAAAAATGGATTCTACTCATATGAGTACTTTTTAAAAGTACGGCAGAAAGAAGTGGAATATAATCATTAAAGATTAATATTTGAATTTCCATCTTAAACTGAGGTTTTATTGGCTTTTCCCCTCCCCCCGCCCCGAAAAACTCCTCTTTAAAACTGGACTGGACTAAGACTCTAAATGTCTGGGTTTAAATACAAATGAGGCCATGCATATAGGGTCCTGGGTGCACACTGGCGATACAGCAAAGGATACAAATGACCACAGTATTGTTAGTGGGAAGACATGAATGAACTCAACAGGAAGAGTCTGTACTCAGAAATCCCCAGGGCTGCCTCTTATCCCCTCCCTTTATCCTCACTGATGTGGAGAAATAAATCTACCCTTTCTCTCATCTTCTACAGTCTTGGAATACTGCTAGATCACTGGGCGTGAGGCAGAGGGAAAGGTGAACATACAAGGTACAAGTTCATGAAGAGCACAATTTCCTTCCCAAATTCTTCCCTGTTGATCAGTGGAGAGCAGGATAGACACCATTTGAAAACTGTAAGCTTAGGACTCTGTGCCAAATACCTTAATTTTACATGAAAATATTTATATAAAAATATATATGTATATATTTCATCTGCTGAAAAGAAATTGACTTTCAAACTTAGAATTTTATTATAGGAATGTGATCAAGAGATGGGATGTATATTTTTGAGAATGCCAGGAGTAAATTTTTAGAACTTAGTGAAAAGAAAGGTTACCTTTCTGAAAAGAAAGGTTAAAGTGGAAAATGACCTTAAACATAAATTTCCTGATTTTTCCTGGTGTCCTAGAATAATAAATATTATAATGAGTCTAATTTTCTGGAACCAAAGGAGAAAACATGAAAGTTTTTATTAAATTTCTTCTTGTTAAGCAGGTAGACCAAATTCAGCTTGCACTGATTAAAAGTCAATAAAGAATTTGGTTGACATTGTGTAAATTAAAAAAAAAAAAAGCACTTGTGTCATCTTACCAGTTTAATTTTTTCTTGTTGAATGACAAAAGCAATGAAAAATAAATTTGACTTCATTTCGCTTTTTCTCTATACTTTCTTTTCTTCAAATAAAATTAAGTTCTAGACACTATAGGAGAGAATACGAAACCCTGTAAATATCAAAAGTCTAAATTTTCTGTACTACAGACATCTCCAACCCTTTGTAAATGACTCCCCTAATTCAAGCAATACTTGATCCAACCAAAGTTCCAGTGGGACTAGAGAATTCTGATGGGTCTTTGGTATTTGTTGCAACAAATTTGACTTGAACTACCTGTAAGTGCACAGTCTAGGCTTATTTCTTTACCTGTAACGCTAAGGGCTGACTGTTGGGAACAGGCCAGTTAGCAAACAACTAGAAAGTGGCTCCAAAGTTCGAAACTTTTAAAAACATGTGCGTTTTGTGTATAAGCCCCCAGAATATCTGGGATGAAATTCCCTTTGGCTTTTACTAAGCTTTGTAGTGGGGGAGGGGAGTGTTTACTTATATAAAGAGCATAGAGAAGTTATTTATTACATGTCTCAGTGTGTTTTCCATTTGTCGTGCTGCCCAAATCATGTTTATGTTAAAACTGGCATTTTATAAACAAGTGTGAGAACTGTAATATTTTGTTAGCTCAAAGTTCACACCTGACTTTCTTCTCTGAAGAGTGAGTGATTAAAGAGATTTGTCTGGTTGAAGTAGGTATTGGCATTATCTGCCCAAGCCTGAACATTGTATGTTGATTCCCTTTAAGATGAACGAGAAACGCTCAGGACTCAACTGTCTGATGATCTGAGATTTTGTATGTGTGCGTGTGTGTGTGTCTAACTTTTAGAGCAAAACGTGTAGCTTGCTGGTACTTTATATCTGACATCTTAACCAGGCCCTTTCTTCAATCTACTTGTAAGGCAGAGAGAGCCCCATCTGGGTAACTGCTGCCTGGCTGTGACCACAGCTCTTTGTTCAAGAGAAGGGACACCTCCCTTCAGATTTTTTTCCAATGTCATTCACTCCACACTTGGCTGACCCCCTCAAACGTGGTCACCCCCTGCAGATGTGCGGACGAAGCACCCACATGGTTAGTTTTGAACGTCTTCTTTAATGTTGCAATGGTACATGGTTTTTGGATCCCTTCTGTCTTCTAACTTTCTACAATTTTTTCAAAGAAAATTCTATCTCACTACCTCTAAAAATAGTCGAGAAATTGTGGTCAGTTCTCTTACCTGTCTGCTCAGAGAAATAGGAGTTTCTATGTGTAGAGTTAATATATCTGCTGTCAATGGATTATCGAATTTTCAATCTGCACAGCATATTGATGACTTTGAATGTCTGAGAACCGACTTCAGGGGTTTTAGGTCACAGAGGTCTCATGGGGATCTGTTACCCTTGTATTGTGTGGTATGGAGAAATGAGATGCCCAGGAGATAGAATGCCAGACACCTCGGCGGTGACCTTTCTCATTTTCACTACTGTAACAAAATGCCCTGAATTAAGCATGCAAATGTTTTTCTCCCCTGTTATGTCAGGGGATCCTGTTATGTCATCACTACACGACGTGGTAACAAAATTTGTAATTTAAATGAGGGCTCTCTGCATCCAGAGTTTGGTAACTCTGCTTGCCAAACAGAAATTTTATGTGTGTATACCAACAAGGAATTTTTCTTGGTTTCTGTGAAATGTACAAAAGTCTAAGTGTTAAATCAGTATGGAGTGGAAACATTTAATGGAATAAACATAAATGAAATTAATCACTATGGAGAAAATAATGCATCACAAGAAACCAGTACAGCCCCCCATTTCCGATTTTTACATTTGTATATCAAAACCATTCTCATGTGTGCTAGAATGGGGTCATGATAGCTGGAATTTGTGAAAGGTAAGAATTTAAGGAGTATTACAAATTTCAGTTGCTTTAGTTTCAAATACACATAATATCTCAAACAGGGCTAACATTGTTAACTGTGTTAAAGAAGTGTAATGAAGATTATAACTGGTCCATTAATTTTCTCTATGTAAACAGATCCTTGTAAAGGCTTCAAAGATCATGCATGCTCTGGAATATTAAATGCTGCCCTCCCAAGCCAACTCAAGCAAGACAAATTAGGTTAATGCCATCCACTATCTTACCAAATGGTCTGCAAAGATTATGCAGGGTTCTGGACCAACATATCAAATTTTTAGGTTTTCACTAACATAGTTTCTGGCACCTGCTCAACACCGTTTACTGTATTTGCTACCATAATTATGGACCTCTGTTGGGCATCCAGTTCAAGTCCTTACCTTTAGCTGGAAAGTTAGTTTGAAGGTGTTACAACTTGACATACTTTATCATTTTGTTCATTCCAAAAAGATGGCACAGTGAAGATGCTCTGAAGGTGACCAGGAGAAAATGCTCACCCTTCTCTGGGTCATGACCACCTGGCACTGTCAGAAATTGGCTTATGATTCCCGGGCCTATGTTTCAGCCTACCTCACAGACCAAGGCAAGCCCGGAGCATGCACCCATTCATGTGCACTCAGATCCAAGGGCCAGGCCCCATAGCAGCAAATGCACTTATTACATCACGTTCATTCTGGATAGTTCACGTGGTTTCAGTTTCTTTAGGCAAACTCAGGATAGGTTTAACTGGGTAAGCTATCACACGAAAAAAGAAATTCTCAGTCTGGGTAAGCACCTGAGTCCCAGCGATTCAAAATGGAAGAGATTCTTTGATAAGCCTAAAGAAAGGTCATCTCCTATTCAATGTTGTAAACTCCAACTATTAACAGGTATTTCAACTATTTTTCCCTCCACAGCGTATGCTTTGGAAAAAAGGATTTTTATTTATCAGTATAGTTTAAATCAAGGCTGATCAAAATACATTTTTTTATTCTAACAACGTCCTTAGTCCACTTTTATGCTATAGTTTATGCTATATAATTATGGGTAATAATTAACACCTCCTTCCTTAACGTTTATAATTATCTTTTCCCTTCGAGGAACAGCGCAAGCTGTTTGAGACTATCCAATTCCAAATTAAAATCAGCATTATTTCTTAAAATGTACTGAATCAGGAAAACAGAAGTTGTCTGTATTGTCCTCGCACAAGCGGTCTGTAACGTGGTGAGTTTAGATGATCTGTTTGGGAAAAATGAGAAATCTAAAGTAAAATATTGTGTTAAAATAAGTTAGTATTTGTGTACCTGATTAAGTAAAAAATAAATCCTACTGATGAGATGTCATCTTAAAACGATTTGCTTGCCAAAGATGTGCAATAAATTTCAGATTATGTATACATTTGGTATTAGCATATGGTTTGAAAAGCCAAAAGCTTGTTCTTACTATTAGGACGTGTTTTAGCATAACTGGAGGTTAACACTTTCAAGAGATTCTGGACCCTGACTGAACGTATACAATCAGGATACAGCAATAGCTCCTAAAAATTACAGTCAGAATAAATGATAACACTTTGCTACAATTTTTAAAGGGATTGTGTTATTAAAGAAAATTATTACCATGTAGCTGGCAAGTTCTTCGGGAAAAATAAAATTTTAGGACAGAAAAACAATTTTTTCAGTCCATCACCTTGTTCTGAGAAGAGCTGCCTCATACATCATCCTGGCTAGATCTGTGGGAATCTTACCTCAGAAACTTCTGAGAGGCTAAGGTTTCCTGGGGATAGAGGGCACGGGGAATCACCATGCTGGCTTTTGCTATACATTCCAAATAAAAAGCTATCCTCTTATAGCAGGTGCCCAAAAGCCTGAAATTTCCCCTAAGTGGCTTGACTCCCCCGCCCCCACAGGTGTCTACATCTCTTATAGAAGTGTCCTTGGGAAAAGACGTCTTCTTAATATTCAGAACATGCAGAGAACGAACTCTCATAAATGCCCACACATGTTCTCTGCCAGCTCACAGAACGGGGAAGGAGGCCTCAACACTCATTACCAGCTAACCTTGCCTGAGCTCTGCCCGGACCAGACACCTGGGCGCCACCCACAGCCTGTCCAGTGTCTCCCCGGACGTCACAAGCTGCCAGTCCCCAGGCCTTTCAGATTTTGTGCCCCACCTAATTCCCTCAGCGCACATGACTTCTCCCTCCCATTCCTCTTGGATGACTGCCCTCGAGGAATCTTTAACGGGAGGTCCACAGAGCACTCTCCAGCATGCATTCTTCAGTGGCTTCCCTCCACACCTGTGAGAACAGAAGCTCAGTCCTGAGCACGGTCCATGAGCCCCTTCATGATCCAACCCAGGGACTCTCAACTCTGGGGCACTCTGGAGTCTGGTTCTAGAGGTCTAGGGCATCAGGTGATTCTACTATGCAGCCGGAACCACTGATTCTCCCCTGTTTGCTGCAGGCCTCTCTCTTGACCCACACGCCTGGGCTTTGGAGCCTTGCCCATGTTACTGCCCTGGCTAGGCATGCCCCACTCCCTTTCTGATTTCTGCTCATCTCTCTGGACATGAGGGCAGAGAGGTATACCTTCCCTCCGTGGAGAAGGCCAGAGTCTTCTAGAACCCAAAACCCTGAGGCTGATTCACAGAACTTAGTAGTTGGGGCTGGCATAATGCCTGGAGGGTACCATATCCTTTATAAACTTCTCAGGCAAGTTCAATGCCCCTAAAATAAGATTCCATATACCATTAAGTTGAACCATGTGAAACTGCAGGTAATCTTGACTCAGGAAAACAGCAATTTTGTGTGGCTCAACCTAAATACTTGGGAAATTATTATAGAAGTTGCTCAAGAACTCAAAAACAAAACAACACAAACTTTAGTTGAGCAGATTTAATTTCCCTGAGACCACATTCCATAAATTATACAAATACTGTCTACAGACCACTGGCTTTCAAAGTTTACTGTGCACACAGAGCAGGTGGGGATCTTGAGAGAATGGTTCCCAGCACGTCCGGGCTGGGGTGTGAGTGTCTGCATGTTTAACAAGCTCCAGGGGAATGTGGGCGCTGCTGGTTCTGGAACACATTTCTCAATATTCATACATCAGACTTTTTAAGAGGAACTACAGGCATACATCAGAGATACTGTGGGCTTGGTGCCTGGCCACCACAATAAGGTAAATATTACAATATTACAAAGTGAGTCAAATGAATTTTTTGGTTTCCCAGCGTACACAAAAAATTATGTTTATACTATACTGTAGTCTATTAAATTTACGGTAGCATTATGTCTAAAAAACAATGTACATACCTTAATTAAAAAGACTTTATTGCTAAAAAATGCCAACCATCATCTGAGTTTTCAGCAAGTGGCAATCTTTTTGCTGGTGGAGGGTCTTTTCTCAATGTTGAGCAGGGTGGTGGTTGCTGAAGGCTGGGATGGCCTGTGGCAATTTTTAAAGTAAGACAGCGAGGAAGTTTGCCACATCAGCTGACACTTCCTTTCACTTTAAGGCCACTGTAGGGTTGTTAATTGGCCTGATTTCAATATTCAATATTGTTGCAACTCAAGAAATAGGGAGGCCCGAGGAGAGGGCAAGAGACGGGTGACCAGCCAGTTGGTGGAGCCGTTGGAACACGTACATTTATCGATTAAATTCACCCCCTTGTATGGGCGTGGTTCCTGGCACCCCAAAACAATTACAACAGTAACATCAAAGATCACTGATCACACATCCCCATACCAAATACAGAGCAAATGCTGGTGGAAAAATGCTGCTGATAAACTTCTCAACACACGGTTGCCACGAACCTTCAACTGGTAAAAAAAACGCAGTATCTATGATGCACAAAAGGAAGTGCCATAGAACGAGGTATGCCTGTATAACATTTACCTTTAAAAAACCCACGAGCGTGGAGAATAACAAAAATGTTTCTCTACTCTATGAAGATCAACCCTGGTTTTCAGTATTTCCATGTATCTGATTAACTGTAAAGCCTTAATAAATTTATAGGCTTTATTTAACTTCAAAAATAAAGTGCTAGGATTTCAAAAATTTAATAATGACTACATTAAAGAATGTCTAAGAAACTTCTCTGTTTCTGAGTTCACAGAAAAGATAATCTCCGGAGAAATTCTACTTCATTGCATAAACCCTTGATTACTTCTTGTCCACGGAGTCCAACCTCCGTGACGATTTGGTGTGCTCCTGAAGGGCCATGCCGTTTTATATTATATTTTGCTTTCCTCAAAAGCGCTTAGCGCTTGTATAAAAGTTCACAATTACAACACTTAATAAAAAGTTAACATTTTTTTCCTTGTAGCTAGAGAGGAGAAAGGACAATCTTCAAACATCCAAATAATTCTTTATCATAAATATTTGAGTTTAACCCCATACACAACTTCTAAAACCAGAGAAACATTTTTTTTTTTTCTGCTTTACATACATTTGTAATTATGCATGTGTTAGGTTGAGAACAGGAATAATTTTCTAGTGGACCAATCAAAAAGAATGAAAGGAATGTGAACTTCGGTAGTTTGCCCGAGGAAAAGAGAGGGGGCTCCAATATAATTATTATTAATAGGTGACATCATCCAAGTAGCAAGAACCACACAGATGCTTCCCTGTGAGTTCGTGCTAACCCTCACTCTGAGCCTCTCAGCTGGACCCTGGGGTGCTACTTTTGGAATGACCGTTTAACCTAGGCCTAGGAAAAGGCATTTCCCTGTAGATCAGTGTAGCTCTTTCATTCTCAGGTAGGATATTAAAATGAGAGGAAAGAAATGACTTTCAACATAAGACACTGTAGAGTTAAGTCCATCTGATGAGGCATGACACCAGACTCTCTTACACTGCACGAGACGCTCATCTTAAAGGCATTCCTGTGCTTTGTCTTCTCCACTGGGCTCTACCATCATCCAACCGATGCAGCCCAATGGAGCACCGGCTTCTGGAAGCAGTTCATGCATGATATCCGGGGAGAACTAGCCAGACTGACAACCTCAGCTCTCTGCAGAGCATGGGACCTCGAAGGCAGTGGACACAAGGGACAGGCTCCACGAACCTGTTTCTCCTGTTATGGAGCGTGACTGCCAAGAGCTGGGGAGAAGGTAACACAACGGGATCACATAATCTTAATAGTTCAAACTGAGTTAGCTATCAATAAACACAACCAAGTCTCTGGCTTTGACTTGACTCAAAACCAGTATGTCTCCGAATGACCCTTTTTTCTGCCTCCATGAGAAAGTGCAAGTGTTGCTTATTAAGTACAGGTTTCTGGGCCTCCCCTAGGCCCACAGAATCAATGTCTGGAGGTGAGGCCAGCCATGTGATTTTCCCCGCACTTCCCAGATGGAACCTTGCTACACTTGAGAAAGGGACAGGCTAATTTCAATAAAGTAGGTTATTTAATCTCTAGGATTCTGATAGCAGAAAAACCCCCTTAGCTTAATTATACAACGTGACATGAAGCCTGTGTCCCAGCGGATCATGTTATTAATGGGTTACCCTATTTTTTACTTAACAGGGGAGCACATCACCTTCTGTAATCCCACCACCCTCTTCCTGTGCTGAGGCTGGTAGGGCTCCCCCCTGGAAAGTTTTAACCCCACTGGCCGGTTGGAAGAGGAGACTTTTACATACGGTTTAATACCTTCCCCTTTGACAAGGCTCTGACTTCTGATCAGCCCGCAGGCCGGCCCTGGGCGTCTGCCCCCGAAGCACACCCGCTGGGAAACCACCCTTCCGGGGCTCAGAGTTGGTATCCTCCACCCACTTCCATTCTATGCACGTTTCAATTTGTCACTCCCACCACCACCGCCGCCGCCGTCACCGCCATAGCGGGCTCTGTTGAGGGACATTAGGAAAATCGCCACGAGGGCCAGCGCAGCCCCCAGGCTGGGGGGCCCGCACGGGCTCACCTCCTGCGCGAGCCCCGAGAGGAGCGGGGCGATGATCCGGCCCACGGCCGTCACCGACTGCCCCACACCGATGACCGCACCGCTGGCCCGCGCCCCGCCCGCCGCCAGCTGCAGGTCGGTGATGCAGATCCTGCCCACGGCGGTGGACACGGCCAGCAGCGAGGAGCAGAGCACGGCCACGGCCACGGAGCGGGCGGCGGCGTGCAGCACCAGCAGCAGGCAGGTGAGCGCGCTCGAGTGCAGCAGGATGGCGCGGCCGTCGTGCCCGTACAGCCGCAGCAGGGGCCCCAGCGCCGGGCCGGCCAGGGCGCCCAGCGCGCCGCTGTAGCTGATGAGGTAGCCCGCCGCCCGCGGCCGCACCCCGAAGCGCTCCTCCAGGGCCAGCACAAAGTTACTGTAGTACAGCATGACCGCCACGGCCATCAGCAAGCGCACCGCGAAGATGTCCCGCATCTCGGAAAATACCAGGCTCTTCATGTCGCGCAGGGTGGACGCGACCTCCAGCCAGGGCGGCCTGGCAGGCCGGGCGCTGGCCGTGCTCCGGTGGGGGGTGGCTGTTCCCTGCCCGTGACCGTCTGTCCTCCCCCAGGGTGCAGAGTCCTCCCTCGCTGGCAGGCCTTTCTCTGCACTGGAGAGCTTCGCTTCGCACCAGGGAAACAGCCAAACCAGACCTGGTAGGGCGGCACAGGACCTGTCAAAGCAGGCTGCACGCCCCGGCTCCCACGGCGCCCCCGTGGGGCAGGGGCAAGTACATGCAGGAGATCACCATTCTGTAGTTTTGTATTTGGACCGGTTACTAACCCGTGGTTTTGAATCCAGTTTTTAACTATTCCCACAGCTACTTCTACTCCATTTTGATAGCAGAATTCTGCTAGTCACCTCAAAAAAAATCTATACCTCCAAGATGTTCACTTTTTTCTAAAGCTCAAGAGCCCATGACCGTTTGCTATCTCGTGGGATATTGAAATTCTCATGCCTATGTTTAAATTCATTACCTAATTCCGTGCCTATCCACCATCTTGCCCACCCATCCATCCACCCACTCATCCATTCCCACCCATACTTCATCTAAACACTGAATATTTATGCTTCCTAAATGTTAAGTCCTGTGCTAAACAGTAGGAATATATTAACTTGACAACACAGGCCTATAAAATCCCTGCCCTCGAGGAATTTAAGTCTAAAAGGGGGTTTGGACAAGTAAAACCTAGCAGTTAGATTACAGGGTAAGTGCTATGATAGGCGAAGCATAGGATGCTATGAACAGAGACAGCCAGCCTTGGTTTGTGGAGAGGGGAAGGGCAGCTTGATACCAATGACCTGTCAGGAAGCACCTGCTTGGACTTGTCCCCGCTTCAGGGCTACCATGTGCTTTTACAAGTCACACCTCAAAATCTTGGGGGGTGCCATTCTCATGGACCATTATGGAGCGGCTCAATTCCTATTCAGATAATCCCACCTCCACCCCTGTGACTGGCTCATTCCCGCCTCGGTCGTTTTATGTATCCCATGCCATCCAAGTAGAATGACCTATTGCCAATCCATGCCCCCAAATTTCTTGAAACTGAATTCCAGCTTGCCATTCTAGGACATCTTTTCCAAACTCATCCTGTGGGGTTTTCAGTCCTTCCACACTTCAATTCAACGCAGACCAGTGGCCATTCAGACTGCTTCATGCTGTTTCCAGCAACCACACCTGTGTATGTGGTTTCTCCACAGTCTAGGTGGACTATTCGCCAGGGACTAATTTATGACAGAAAACTTAACCACGCAAGAATGCAGGCCTGGACTTTCTACCCCTTCTTATCTTGAAAATGCCCCTTGGGCACTTTATAGAATCTTGATAAAACTATGAAAGGACTATTGCTGATGGACTGAGAGGAAGAGTATCATTAAAATAGTAAAAATGAAAATGATGACAGCAACTGATGTTTACTGAGTATGATCAGCATACTTGACACAGTGGGGTGAACTGCTCGTGTGCAAGACCTCCGGTGCTCGTCTTAGTAAGACCGGGAGTGTTGTTACCCCGTTTTAGGGATGAGTAAACTGAGGCAACTCGCCCAAGGCCCACACTAAAAAGTGGCACAGCAGGAATCTGAATCCAAGTCTGTCAGACTCCAGAGTCTGAGTTCTTAACCATGAAAACAGAAATCATGGAAAAAAAGATGTAAGAGGCCTTTCTCAGGCAAAGTGGCTGATCAGAATGAGGATATGAGAAGCTGAAGGGGTAAAAGGGGTTGAGGAAAACAGCCGAAGTCACTGAGGGAAAAAAACGCAACACGCTGTGTTCACTGTGCTGGAAGGCAAAGCCCGGCGTGAGACACTGTCTGCTGGCCTGCCCCCCTCGCTCTCCTCTGCTATTCCCTGCATCAGCTTGGCCTACTGACCTCCACATTTCTTAAGAATGCACAGGAAATCCCTATTACTATTTTTAGCCATTGTGGTTGAGAACACTTGTGGCTGAACTATCCCTGACTGACTCGGATCCATTCACAGGCTTAGGTTGGGGCATGATATTAAACAGCATCATTGCTGGAGAATCCGAAACAGAACTCCATAATCATGGCCTTCGGTCATACACTGACTTCTGACTTTGGGAGCCATCACATTCATCACATTCCTTCGTAGGGAAAGGTACCTGGCCACACCAGCCGGTCATGTGCTCAAGTATTTTATCAAGATTTACACTAATCCATCAGACCTCACCTCCTGGCCGGGGTTACAGGTTAAACTTCTGGCAGGAAATCATAAAATATACCTATGAGGATTGACATTGAACTCCTAAACTCTTGTTTTCTGAGTGTGATATCCTAGCTCAACACGGAATCCATCACTCAACCTGGAGCCTTCAATACAAAGACTAAAAAAGATGCAGTAGACTATCATTAAATTTAAGGAAAACTGAGTAACATGAACCAATCCTCTTGTTTATGAAGGTGTTTATCTAAGGCTCAGTAAGGTACCAGTCTCTGGGCAAAGAGGTTTATCCTCTTTGCTTTAGGCGACTGGCCCTGCATCCAAGGAGCTCATAGTCCAGTAAGTGCTCTTTTATTCATCAAATGTTACTGAACATTGGCTTTATGTCTGGCTAGTTCTGGGCAGGAGTGACAACAGCGAGAAAATCTCTACCCTGTGGCATTTAGTTTCTAACAGTATGTGTGGGGAGGTAGGGAGGAGAGAATATAAGCAAGAAAACAAATTGATAATATAATTTCAGAAGTGCTATGAAGAAACCTGAATTATTTGAAACAGAATCATCAGGAAAGGCCTTTCCAAGAAAGTAAATATTTGACACCTGAATGATAAGAAAGACCCAGGAAAGATATGTGGGAAGAATGCTGCTAAGTGGAGGAAAGAGCAAATTGCAGTCCCCTCCTGCGCCTGACCAGGAAGCCGGTGTGGCTGGTGCACATGGAAGGAGAGAGAGAGGTGGGGGAGGGGGCGAGGGCTGGGCCTGCACACCACCATGCTGTGTGAGACACAGCCGTGCTTTAGCATGATAGGACGACACGGGCAGGCAGTCTACAGCAGGGGATGAGGCAGTCCAACTTTGAAAAATAAGTCTGCCTATTCTGAGGTGAAGGGGATTAAAAGTACACTTATCAGGATGAGCCCTGAGTGATGTACAGAATTGCTGAATCACTCTATTGCACACCTGAAACTAATATAGCACTGCATGTGAACTACAGTGAAACAACAACAAAAAGTCTGCCTGTTTTAAGAACAACAAAGTGTTAAGGTGATAAAAGTGAAGCAGGTAGATTGGTCAGTATGAATGCATACACCAGTCTTCTTATGATGAAATGTCAACTTACCAGCATTGAGAATGAAGACAGAAAAACAGATGAAGGCTGTCAGATAAAATCCACCATCTAGCTCAGTAAGATATCCACCAACCATGGGGCCCAAAATGAAGCCCACACTAGATGCTGCGTTGAATTGTCCAATTACTAATGGCCGTTCTTTCTCTGCAACCAGATCAGAAAGCAGAGCCCTTGAAATGGAGAGGGTATGTTTAAAAATACCTGCAAGGGGATAAGAGACACGCTCTGTAACATTTTTCAGACCAAAAGAATCTTGCATGTGATCTTGCATTTCATCCCTTATCACTGATGGAGTTCTGGTCTCCACTCTCTTTGAACCTCTAAGGTCTGCAGTTTCATCCCACCATGACTGGACTCCTGATCTAGCCCACAGCCCGAGTTGGCCACCTTCTTCCTGGTAGCCAAGCCCTGCATCCTCTGCTTTCCCACCTTCCACCCTGACATCCCAGGATCTCCAGTTTTCTGTTAGCCAAGTGCAATTCATGGTGGCTTCTCTACAGAGATGCGTCATTCTTTTTTTTTTTTTTAAGATTTATTTATGTATTTATTTGTCAGAGAGAGCGCGCACAAGCAGGGGGTGGAGCAGAGGGAGAGGGAGAAGCAGGCTCCCCACTGAGCAGGGAGCCCGACACGGGGGCTCCATCTCAGGACCCTGAGATCATGACCTGAGCCGAAGGCAGCTGCGTAACCGAATGAGCCACCCAGGCGTCCCGAGATATGTCATTCTTTATTCATTCACTCGGTGAGTAAACATTCACTGCATGCCTACTCTATGTCCAGCATTGACCTTGACCCTGACCCTGAGGATAATGCAAGGAACAGAGTGCAAAAAAGACACAAATGTACCTATCTTCACAGAGCCTGTGTGTGTGTGTGCCTGTGCACATGTGTGCGTGCGTGCGCGCGTGTGTGTGTGTATAAAGGTGATAACTGCTAGAGAGGAACAGAGGAGGGAAGGATAGGGAGTGAGTAAAAATATAAACACTAAAGAGCAAATTGCAGTCCCCTCTTGCGCCTGACCAACTGATTTTCTACTAGCAAGAGGTTTGTGAATTGGTTGACTAAACAAACTGAAAGGTGGGACATGACTTAATAAGAGATTAAAATGTATATAGCAGCTTTATATTCCTCATACTTCTGCTGATGTATTTGACTTGTCTGCACCCATACATCCATATGCTGAATAAACAGACTGATAGGTTCTGGTAACATAGGTTGCCCACCACATTGATCAATACATGGCAGGAACTCAATCAGTGTTGCTGGTGGGTTGGCCTGAAGTGCTCCTAACTATGATGCAACACAATGGTTTCCAGTGATTTCCTTGAAAGAAGTATCACTGTACATCACTCTGCCTGCACACTGATCCTGGGTTCTATACCCAGCTGTGTCTAAATATTAGAGTGGGCATTTGCCTGATAACCAGCCTCTTTGGGAAACGAACTTAGAAATCTCTTTTGGAATTAGGTAGAGAGACTCTCTCTAGATCTACCTCCTTAAATGGGAGAAAGGACCAGGCTGGAAGATGATTCCTAAGAGGCCTGATAGGAATCCTGTGATTATTTCTGAAATGATACCGATGTTGGATTCACCTTACATACCCAGGGAAGGAGGTGGTGAGGGTAATGCAGACTAGCTTCCTGTTACCTTCTAGAGGTTGGGCTAGTGGACAGAAAGAGAAGGGGAAAACTGTGTGTCTACTTCTGGTACTTCAACCTCCCTCAGGCTCATCTTCAGGATACAAGGACCTGAACCTACACGTGACATTGTACAGCACAACCCTGGCAAGGCTCCCCAGGGCTCCCTCATATTCCCGGGCCAATCAAACACTGTAGAGGTTCCCATAGCAGGAAAGAATTTTATGTATAGCTCTCCTGTTGGTCAAGAGTATGATGTATATTAACAGAACTATCACTACTCAAAGCAGGCTCATTTCATATTAAATAAAAACATTTTAATCTTCTCTATAAATTTCTACCTATTGTATACAGGGTCCATTAATCTCATATTTCTTTAGAATTATGAACAGCCTTACTGCTGAATGGTGGAGTGTATTATATTTACACACTGCAACCCAAACCAAGCATGTACAATAACTTTGACTCCAGATGCACACAGAGCAGCCATCGGTTGGATTTTGTGTGGTAGGGGGGCAAGTTAGGATGACTGGTTATATTTAAAGCAAGGACCTTCATAAGCATTTTTTGTTTTCTGAATCAACAGAGAGGCACAGCATGAATTTTGGAAGGTGAACTCAAAAGACTTGGAGAGTAAGTATGTACGTCACAGAAATGGGTGTGAAAATCCCAAATAAGCTGATCATCAACTATATGTTAGAAGGACGTATTTTATGTTCTGTTCCTTTGGGGCATTAGGTAAAAAGGAGCAGCTTAACTGAATATGGGCAGAGGTCCAGGGCTGTAAACTTGTCCACTGGGGCAGCACAGTCTGTCAGGGGAGAAAGAAACACTGAAACTCCAGGGCTCTAGCAACTAAGAAAGGCAAAGAGAATAAAGAGCTTCCACAGGAGCTGCCTACCTGTCACACGAGGACAGCATTCACAAGCGGCGGCTCAAAGAATGGACAAAATGTTTCGGTGAATGGACAAAATAGAAGCTATTTCGAAAATGTCAGAAATATTCAAGATCAGTTTGGAAAGAGAAACTCGTCATCATCCTAGTATCTCCCCCGACCAACAGCCAGATTTACAGGAGGCTGCAGGAAAGCTACAGTGGGAAATCTCAATTTGAAGTCAGGAGGCCCAATTTTAAAACTGTGAGCTGGCCAAACAAGAGAATAGTAAGCACAGTGCTGGCCAAAGACATTTAACAAATTCTTACTGCCTGAACGTAGAGAGATCAATGGGAAGGAGACAGGTCTGTGCGGCAGCATAATGATTCACACTGACAGGGAGGGCTCCGGGCCCTGTCACGTACAAGCTTTGGGGATCTGCACAAGTGAGCAGAGCCTGATTGATACTAAGTGCTCGATCAACAGCAGCAGCTGGTGTTCCAGTTATAATTGCTCTTGTCATTATTTTGTCTTGGCATAAGCTCTAATCAAGAAGGCACCCACAGGGGTGCCTGGGCGGCTCAGTCGGTTGAGCGTCTGCCTTCGGCTTGGGTTGTGATCTCAGGGTCCTGGGATCAAGTCCCAAATCGGGCTCTCTGCTCTGTGGGGGGCCTGTTTCTCCCTCTCCCCCTGCTCTTCTCTCTCTCTCTGTCAAATAAATAAATAAAATCTTTAAAAAAAAAAAAAAGAAGAAGAAGAAGGCACCGACAAGGGCGCCTGGGTGGCTCAGTCGGTTAAGTGTCCGACTCTTGGTTTCAGCTCAGGTCATGATCTCAGGGCGCTGGGATTGAGCCCCGCGTGGGGCTCTGCGCTCAGCATGGAGTCTGCTGGAAATTATCTCCTTCTCCCTCTGCTCCTCCCCCTGCTCACACAGGCGCTCTCTCTCTCTAAAATAAATAAATAAAATCTTAAAAAAAAATAAAAAAGAAGGCACGGACATGGACAACAGTCTCTCTTTATACATTTACATACAACTGATTTATTTGGAATGAAACACACCCAAGGAAAGAAACTTACCCACAGGGACTCTAGCAAGGGCAAACAGGAACACATTGGTGGATGCTCCAAGAATCAGATAACCCAGGGCGCTGAACAGAATGCACACCAGCAAGGAAGACCGTCTTCCAACCACATCACTCCAGCAGCCCTGAGGAAAGCAAGGAACACAGAAAGTCCTCTGACTCACCACCTTTAACCACCACCACCATGGAAATGCCCCCCAAATGTGACCAAGATGTTTTGCCAGATGGGAGACAACTTACCACCAGTGTGCTGGAAAAGAGCTGCAAAATGCCATAGGAGGAGCCTACAAAAAAAATCAGTCACATCAAGAAAATCAGCGGGACCCATCACAAAAATGGATCAACATGGTAACAATTACATAGAAATTAACAGAAAAACAGGGGGAAAAAAAAAGACTGTTTTTAAAAACAAGATTCCCCCTCCTCCGTTTTTTCAGTTGGAAGGGTAAAGCAATACAATTTTGATTAAAAGACCTTCAGGGGTGCCTGGGTGGCTCAGTCGGTTAAGTATCTGCCTTCGGCTCAGGCCAAGATCTCAGGGTCCTGGGATCGAGCCCCGCATCGGGCTCCGTGCTCAGCGGGAAGCCTGCTTCTCCCTCTGCCTGCCGCTTCCCCTGCTTGTGCTCGCTCTCCTCTCTCTCAAATAAATAAATAAATAAAGCAAAACAAACAAACAAACAAACAAAAACTTCAAAATAAAAATGAAGGAAGCAGAAGAGAGACTAAGGCAAGGGCCACCCACGGTCTCTGAGAGAGGCTTCTCCCGCTCTTGAGGATGCGTACCCCTGACTGAGAAGACCGAATAGAGAGTACTCGGGGAGTAGAAATCCAAATCCTACAAAAATTCTACTCAGTCTGAAAATTTTTGTATCATCTTATATCCCTCTAACATTCCAGTTTTATAAAATGCTTTAGTTTTATAAAGAACTGACAAAGTTTTACAGAGTGCTTTTACCTCCATTATATCAAATAACATGTCCCTTCTGTTCTTCACAGAAACCTTCATGCTGTTGTCTGGGCCAGTATAATTCTACTTTCCAAGGGAAATACAAATCATGGCATGGAGGACTTACCAAATATTGTGTCCACCACTGTCCCCGAGCATTTGCTTATCCAGCTTGTGAATAGTCAAGCGCTGTCAGTCTTTTAACAATTTCTTGTTAATTAGCACAGTCCTAAGTCCTGCTATATCTTGTCTCTTTGGTAAATCAGTGACTGAGATGGAGGTTCTATGCTGCACAGGTAGAGAAGCCCTACAACTCCGTAAGATGTGCTTGCGGTGGTGCAGGAAGCTTGTGACCAATTTGTCAAGGCTCACCCTAAATCCCCTGCTGCGCGACTTGATTCCTGTAGATTATGTTTCTCTGGTTCCTGCAGGCAGGGGTCTGTATCTGCCCTTTAACACATGCAGCCAGCTCCTTGGAGAGGCTCAGTAAGTAACCGTGATGTCACTGGTGGTGAGGGGAAGGGAATGAAGCTAAACCTCAAAACCTCTCTGACCACAGGTAGTCTAGAAAAAGATGAATTACATTCCCTCCAGGGTAACATTTTTTTTTTTTAAAGATTTTATTTATTTATTTGACAGAGACACAGTGAGAGAGGGAACACAAGCAGGGGGAGTGCAAGAGGGAGAAGCAGGCTTCCCGCAGAGCAGGGATCCCGAAGTGGGGCTCGATCTCAGGACCCTGGGATCATGACCTGAGCCAAAGGCAGACGCTTAACGACTGAGCCACCCAGGCGCCCCCAGGGTAACATTTTTAAGTATTCTAAAAATTCCTTTTATCCCACTTTCAATTTACTTTTGTATAATATTTAGCTATAAGACTGATTTGTTTTTAGGTTTAGTCCAGAGGACTGAAAATTCAGTGCTCTGAGAATGTACGATATTAACCACTCACCTACTATTCCAGCAACTGTTGGACTTGCTCCAAGAGACTTGACATGAAGGCTCAATAAAGGGATGACCATGCTGACACCAAACAAATCCTAAACAACAAAACACTGATTAACTCAAATTAGAAACTGACACTTAGGCGTTCTTAAAGTGGTAATCCTAATAACAAACTGATTAAAAAAATAAAACCAGTATCTAAATTTTGAGTCAACAAGAAATCATAATTGTATTCTACAGTATGCTATGCCCATCAGGTTCAAATTATCAAAGAATCAAAATATAATGTGTTATAACAGTTGCTCCCTGTAAATGCCTGATCACCATGACCCGGAATCATTTCAACCTTAGCTTCTTTGTGATTGATCCTTAATACTCAAGGAGGATGTGCTATAGAAGTTATTCAAATAAAAAACCAAAAAAATGTTTGTGTGTGATGAAGTGGGAAAGAAGGCAGGGAGAATGCATATTTCTTTGCAAAGCACTTGCTTCATATATGAATTTCCTCCAAGAATTAGGGAAGGCGACTAATCTGTGGCTTATAGCCTTAAAAATAATATCTGAAAAGAAAGTCTCAGCAAAGCAAGGAGAGAGAGGGATGGGGTAGTGGGGAAAGACAGTGTTCTGCAGCTAAGTCAATGAAAGTGCATGGGATTTGGGGTTAGGCAGACAGTTCTAAGTTCCAGCTCTGTTCCTTACTAAGCATGTGTGCTTAGAAAGTTATTTAATGTCACCAAGCATCAGTGCTGTCATCTGTAAAAAATGGGGATAATAACACCTGTCTGGTAGACACATGATGTACATTAAGAGATGTAATGGTTGAGAAAGGTCTAACACACAACCGCAGTTCAAACATATTTTCTCTTTTCTTCTGTCCTGGGGATAAGAACTGACCCTTTTTGCTAGGTACTCTGAGTTAACAGAAGGACCGTTAATTTTTCCTTTAAATTTCGTTCTCATTCCTACTTCACTTGGATACTTTCAACAACTGGTTTAGAGGAAGGAAACCACATTGCACACACACGGTTTTCTTTATATTCAACTGGAATTCCTTTTCTTATAATCCTGGTTAAATAGAAAGAAATGCACGAAAAATATATTTCTTTGGGCCCACAATTAATCTTTTGCTTATCCCTTATCCTGGTGGCTGTGCATTCACCTAATTTTAGAAACATGAACCTCTAAATGCACTTTTTAGTGGCCCTTTTCCATGGTTACATCTTTAGATGGCCATATATTTACTATCTAGTGTTCTTAAATAGCTCATAAATTTATACTACCAGAACTACAGTTTATTATTTTGATTTTAAGACTACTTAAAATTTCTTTTGGGTCTAAGCCAATGTCTTTTGGGCTTTGCTGTCAGCTTTGTTTCATCAGCCTGCTGATGTATGATATCACTTAAAAGACCCCAAATACATCAGTTACCTATTGAATTTTCTGAATCTTTCAGAAAAGGAAACTCAATGGTCCAAAAATATTTTTTTTTCCAAAAAATTCCCAGTACCACTTGTCATTTAACATTCAAATAAAGAATGGGAGAGAAATAATTAAGTAGGCTGAAATTTATGGCAGGTTATAAGAAAACAGATTCATAAGTAATAACTGATGATCAGTATTATTTTAACGTTTTTGTGAGCCTGAAAAATATCTATTTCCAAGGATGCTGGTGCTCTAAAACTGTCTTTCAGGAAGTTGTGCACTAAAATTGTCTTCCCCTTTACTAGAAAAGGCAACTCCTCTCTTCCTGTGAATCCGCAGTTTCTTCAAAACCACTGGCTTTGAATGCACTCTGTGGCAACTGGTCATGTGCTTAATAACCATTTATAAGGAAATCAGGCAAGAGGGGACCATTTAAACCTTTCATGGAACATCTACATCTCTCAACAAAAACTGGTGAATACACTAACACGTATCAAGATCTTTTTCAGGGTAGGAACCTAAGTATTTCTTGATTAGCAAATTGCCTCAGTAAGAATGAATAAAAGACCTGACTACAGCTGATGAAATAAAATACAAATCTCACTGTGTATCTGGAGGAAAGAGGGTATTGAAATCACAGATCTTAGCACCGTCTTTCAATGCTAACCAAAAGCGGCCTAGAGGGCCATCTTCATCTTCCTTCTTAAACAAATTAAAACCTGGAAGCCCAGATGAGAACTAAAAACAGAACACTTTGGCAAATGACTTCTTTAATCCTGTTCCCTTCCTCTCTTATTAATCTGAAACCATTTCCCCAAAAGTCTTAGAGGTCTTTTACATCTCTAAACATATTAAAAGTAATAACTAAGTTATGTATAATATTCCTTGGGTGTTACCTAACAAAGAGCCTTCAGATCTTCAAGGATATCCAAAGTTGCACATATTTTTATTGCTTACAACATTTTCCATTTAAAAAAATCCCTACTCTCTTTTAACTTTTGGGAAATCTTACATTTTCCCCTGAACATATTAGAGAACTAATGACTCTCTTGAACAAATTATTAAAATTTTACATCAGGCTTGCCTAAATTAGACTCGCTGTGTGAACAGCGCGTAGACAACACAGGAGAAGCTCTGAATATTCAAATCTGTACTGGAAGGCCAACTATAACGTATGATCTGTGAATTCATTTAAAACATTCAAACTATTTGGAATTTTAGGTCATGTTGGTTTCTCCGAACTCCCGATCCGGACTTTCCAGGTGAGGGCCCAAATTCTTTTCATCTGGCAGGACCAGATATTAGTACTGTCTGAGGGAGGGCAGCAATAGCCAAGAGTCAGTCCCCAGCTCTGACCAGAGGGTGGATGGCAGCCAACTCCCTTCCGAAACGTCAAGGACCACTCACCATCAATAGTTTTGAATTGGGGGTGGCTGAAATGGAAGGTGGAAGAGGTATCTGCACCCTGAGGCTGATCTAAGATTAAGGAATGCCAGGCTCTGAACTGAAAGCATGAGCCTGGGGGCAGGGTAGGTAAGGTTAATTGCAGGCAGAGATTCTGTGTAAACCACAGCCCTCCTGAGTGCCTCATGGTGTTGTGTTTTCAGCGATTTGGAAAATGCTCTCATCATTCTCTTAACTATTAAGTCAACATTAAACCTTTACAGACTGATGAATATCTTGCATTGTGGAGGGGAATAGGGAGGCTGCCTCCCTACTCCTCTCCTAGCTGAGCATGGCTCAGTATCCAAACTCTAGTGAGGCTAACATACTGGGGAGTAGTGGTCTTAACCTGCATCTGGGCAGAAAACAGTAATTCCTCTTTGCCAGGACCTAGTGCCTTTGGGGACTATTCAAAGCCTCCGAAGGCCGTCTTCGCCCAGTGACACTTCGCCTGACCAGTTCCTTTTGTCCTCAAATACAGTCTCAGTCTCAGCAAAGAAGAAATCCTCTATGTCCTTGTCCTTTCTCTCCTAATCTGGACCAGCTCACAACCAGGGCAACTAAACCAGGTCTAGACTTGGAAGGAGAGGAGTAAGGCGTTGGATCTAGGGTTCCTGCAGACAATGGCCCATGAACTACCAACACAAGCTTTCTGTAAGATTTTAAGTTGTTCCTGGCAGGGACTGTGTAACTGGAGCTCTACAGTCCCGACCACATAAAAGGTTTTCAGAAATTCTATGAATAATAAATGGATGGAGGTATGGATGACTTTCCCTCTCATACACTCATCTTTCTAAGCTTTCCATTCTACGTGGGAAATTCATAATAATTGTCCTCATTAAACCAGGACACACACACACATCATGAAAAAACCAAACCTGCCTTATCCAATGAACAGTTTGTTGAAAAGCAGATATGTGTAATTCACCGTGGTTTGTATTTTTAAACATTCCAGTCTACCAGGAACCTTAATGAAAATGTGCCTAATTCTGCCCACGTGGGGTCATCAACAGTGACTTCCCCGACCGGGCCTGGCACAAAGGCCTGTGTATTCATACCACACCTACTGATGTCAGACAGCTGGGCTTTCCCAAACTTGCCCAAGAGCCCTGCTGTCCACCCTGCGTGCTCTGCACCTTTCACAGCATCTAACACCTGGGGTCACCCCTGAGCCCGGCTTAATCACACGAAAGGCTGGTGCGGGGGGCGCCTTAAAGGGCAGGAGTAGAGGAGCTGCGGATTGGGCCCGCGAGGGGCAATAAAGCAATGTGGCCTGGTGCAGAGTGGAAGGGGTTTGGGGGCAAAAAGAAGCTTGAAAGGTAAGAAGGCACCACCAGGCAGATCGCAGGTTCCCAGCCCTGAGTGAGCCTTACGACCATCCAGCCTTCAAAAGAAAAAAAACCCACCCCTAATCGGGTTCCAGGTCCAGGGCGCAGTCGCCCTTCGCCCCCAGCCCCAGCACTCACCAAGAAGCCCACCAGGTAAAGACAGAGCAGGAAGCGGCGGGCTCTGACGGCACCGGGGCCGCGAGCCCGCGCCTCAGCCCCGGTCCCCGAATCCTGCCTTAGCATCGGGGTCGCCGAGACCGGCCCCCCCGCCGAGGCCAGGCCGCGGCGACCCCCGGATTCCATGCGGACCCGCACCCGCTGCGGGGACCTACCCCCGCGCGCTAGCCCCGCCCCGAGCGGAAGTGAGCGGCATGCGCCTGCGCACAGGGGAGCGCGGCAGGGCTGCGGGGCGGTGGCTGTCCGTGGACGTGGCGGGTTCCAGGGAGGGAGGAGACAGCGCGCGCCAGCGGTGTGTGAGAGACGCGCCGGTTTTGTGATGGTAACGATAATGCTCTACATTTCTTTGGAGGGAAGACTGTCTCTGGTATTGGAAGGCGGGAGGGAACTGTGCTGAGCCTCTCCGTACAATGTGGGGCCGCCTGAGGTGGCAGCCAGCCCCACCTGAGGTGGCAGCCAGCCCCACCTGGGAGATCCACAGATTTAGGCTGTAGTTGGCTCTGAGTGACCTGGAGTAGGTGCCTATGGCCCCTTCAAACTTCAGTCTGTCTGTTGGAAAAGCAGGCAGAAATAAGGTAGACTAATGTCGGAGAACTGTGAGAATCCTGCAAATGCTTCCTGAGCCCGAGGGGAGGTTACAGTTTCCTGGGGTAATAATAATAAACACACAGTAAATAAACATGGTAAGTTAAATAATAAACAGGCAGTACACAAGAGAAGAAGAACACGATAAATAAAATAATATGGTGACAAATGGTAGAAGAAAAGCACGGTCTCCAGGTGGAGACTAAGGGGGGGGGTGTCCTTTGGTAGCTTGGAAGAGGTGACATGTAGGCTGAAAAGATTGAGGAAATATATGTGGCTGAAACTTTCTGAACAAACTGAGCGATCAGAGATAGGCAGGAGGCAGGATCATGCAGGAATGCAATGAAAGGAAGTAAGCAGTGCATGACACCAGATGGTGTGTATCAATCACTTAGCACAGTGACTGACAACATGGTAAATACTTAAATATTACCTATGATTACTAGCCCCTCTTTTATTCAGGAACTTATTTCAGCACTTACTCCTTTCTTGCTCTGGTATAAAGAGTCTGAGATTTTCAAGAAAATCTCAATTGTGCAGGTTGCTAAATTTGATCTTGCAGAGTTTGTCATGTGAAAGTTAGGGTGCTGTTTAGGAAAGAGTGAGATACTGTAATTTAGAATGGAGATGTGTGTTTGGAGCCAGATGAAACTCACAATCTTGAACCCTCCAAGTCACTCTGAACCTTCTTTGCCACTAGAAGTAGTGTGTCCTCTTGTTATCTGAGAAAACTAGCTTTACTGCGCTTAAAGTTTTTGTGATTAACCCATCAGGGATAGGTGCCTTGAAGAGGAATGCTCATATTTTTCAAGACCCATCGAAACCACTCACTGTGTTCACTAGATAAATAGGGTAAACTCTCAGCATGTCCCAGGGGGCAGGTAGATACTATGACCTCCGAGGAAATTGTTTACACACCATAAGAATTGGAAGACTCTGCTAATATATAATCAGCATACCTTGGAAATATATGGGGTAGAGAATTTAAGTGTGTCAGATTAAGGAGGGAAAAATATAATACTTGATTAGGCAGAGTTCACTGATAAAGGTGCACTTACTAGAGATTCCAGATGTAATGTGTTAGAGTGGAGAGCTAGAGGTGACTCTCATAGTTTACTTGGTTGGTTGACTAAAACATAGACTCAAAGTTCACCTACGTTTAATAATCTTGGGATGCCAGACATTTTCTGGCATAATATGAAAAAGGGGATCCAAAGCTTGGGGAGATAAGAATGTTAGAGTGGACTTAAATGTATGACCTGCATGCCTAACCCCCAAATATATTCCATTAAAAGGCCCAGAAGGCACTACCTTAATAAGGCATTGAAGACTATGTTAGTGGGAGAAACTCTTAGATTCTTGAAAAGGTTTGTGATTGCTCCCTTTTTAGGCTAGGTGTAGCTATGGGTACTATTGCTTTTGAGGTGAGCTCCCTGGTTTAAATGGAGGTAATAAGATTCCAGATTATTAGAGGCCAGATGGCAGCATTTTGACATCAAAGACAAGGTGGGTGCATTTGCTGTAAAAGGTAGCATGTATTAGTAATCAGAATGCTTAGGCTTTCAGGGATCTTTGACTGTGGATAATTGACCATAATATCCCTAGGAATAAAATAGTCTACTAGAGTGTTGCTTGAGCCATATAACAGAAAAAAAAACAACAACTCTAGATTGGGTACCCAAAATCCTGACTTGACTTGACTTGCCACAGGAGAATCAAAGCATCTCACCCAGTACAAGACATAAATCAATTCACAAACAGAGCCTCTTGACTTAAGGGGAGTCTAGGTAATCTTAGAAGGAATCTTGAAGCATTCACATGAGTATATACCATAAGTCTTCCTCCAAACTTTCCCCTGCGGAGCCTGCAGCCATTACTAGATTGGGCATTATGAAAAAGGAAATACCCAGATCTTTGGAGAATTACTAGACACTGGCTTCAGAGTGACACTAATCATTAGGGGCTCAAAATGCCACTGTGCCCCACCAGTAAAAATGGAGCTATACTAGTAATTCTCAAGACCATGTCTTAGAGTCAGTCATTTGCTAGGAGAACTCACAAGACTCAGCATATAGTCATAGCTAAGATTTATTACAGGATTTTACAAAGCAAAATCAGCAAAGTGACTTGCATGGGATGAAGTCTAAAGAAAACAGGTACAAGCTTCCAAGAGTCCTATTCCAGTGGAGTCACACAAGACATAATTAATTCTTCCAGGTGTGAGTTGTGACACATGTGAAATGTTGTCTACCAGGGGAAATTGTCAGAGACTCAGTGCCCGTCTATCACGTAACTACCCTAAGCTACTGTGCAGAAAAGAGTTAACGTAGCAGGCCTATTATCCTTTAAAAAAGTCTGCTTAAAATGTTTTTGCTTGGGACAGCTACATGCAAAAGAATGAAACAGGACCACTTTCTTACGCTATACACAAAAATAAACTCAACATAGATTAAAGATCTAAGTGTGAGAGATGAAACTATAAAATACCTATAAGAAAACATAGGCAATAATTTCTTTGATATTGACCTTAGCAAGACTTTCTAGATATGTCTCCTAGGCAGGGGAAACAAAAGCCTACCACATTCATCTAGACATAAGGTTGTATGTGCACATCATGAAATGGAAATCGATATTGGGCTGTTCCAGAAATTACAAATTGCATGAGCAGGTGACTTGACTCAGGAGTCCTTTAATATTGACACCTGTTGCACCATCTCCTCCATCCCTCCATGGCCTCTTGGGAGTTCCTTACAACCAATTGACTGAGGAAGAAAAGTCTTGAGGCTAGTTTACAAATGATAGGCATGATATTCTGGTACCACCTCAAAGTAGACAGCTGTAGCACTACCGTACTACACAGGAGTGACTGAAGTAAAGTAGTGAAAGAAAACCTTAACATTGGTTGGAACTTCAAGTGGTACTTTGGTCACTTTGCCTGGAGTGAGAGATGGCCAAAAATAAAATACTCTATTTGTGGGCAATTTCTGTTAGGCTAGATGGAATAGACTTGGGAGATAAATGACAAAGAATTCTAGAGAAGAGGTATATGGCTGGATGTCTGAAGGGGCACAGGATAGAGAAGATATTTTTGTCCTGTATGAATGCCCACCATTGGACGTCTACTGCAGAGGGCTTTTAATAATCAGGTGGACAAAATTAGGTGCTCTTTAGATGTCCCCATCAACATCAGTGTTTCTTCAATGGGTCCATGAACAAAGTAGCAGTGGTTGCAGAGGTGAAGGCTATACATGAGCTCAAAAGCATGTCTTCACTCTTATTAATGATACTGCTTGATGCCTAATATGTCACCAGCAGAGACCAGCAATTAGTTCCTGTTATGCCACCATTCCCTGGGGGAGCAACCTGATGGAAGGTTGAGTGTATTGGACCTCTACTATTATGGAAGGTGCAGAGATTCATCCTCAGTGGAGTAAGGAAATATTCTGCATATATATTTGCCTTCTCCATTTATAGTACACCTGACAATACCATCCATGGACTCATGGAGTATTTATCTTCCACTATGGTATTTCACATAGTACTCCTTCTGGTCAATGTGTATTCCTCTCACTGCAAAGGAAGTAAAGCGATAGGATCATCCTTATTGAATTAACTGATCTTACCACATTTCCCATCACCAAGAAGAGGTTGACCTAATTGAGTGAGAAATAGCTTATTGAAGGCTCAGTTACAGTGCCAAATGGGAAACAATACCCTAAAAGAATGGAGTTCTGTCTTAAAGCATATGGTATATGCTTTGATTTAAAGACCAGTATATGCTGCTATCTCCCCCATATCCAGAAGACATAGTTCAGGAAATCAAACAGTGGAAGTGGTAGTAACTCCTCTCACTGTTATACCTAATAACTCACTTAGAATATTAATGCCATCTTGGCAAATTTGAGCTCTCCATTTTGAAATCTTTGATCCCAAGAGAGCTATGCTTCCACCGGGGGGGGAAGGGGTGGCAATAACAAAGGTTCTGTTGAGTTAGAAGATGAAACCACCACCTGGCCATTTTGGCTTCCTTATGCCACTAAACCAGGAAGAAACGGGGGTTATTCTACTAGCTAGAGCAATTGATTGATTCTAACTATGAAGGAGAAATTGGGTTGTTGTTATACAATAGCGTGAAGACGGACTGTATGTTGAGAACTTACACAACATACAAACAAAAAAAGGTAGAACTATTGCAGAATCAGACCATTTATTAATGAAGATTTGCATCATTCCATGAGGTATCAGCTGATATTTTAGCAGAGGGCAAGTGAAATAAGAGGTAGCAAAAGAAGAAAGCCATAGATATCATATCAACTATGACCTTGTGTGCAGTTACAGAAGTGAGGACTGTAGAAGCTCTGCATATTTTCTCTTTGTTATACATATATGATTACTTATATATGTTAACCATTTTCTTCTGCCTTCTTCCAAGTATAATATTATATGTTATACATATATATATATGTGGTTGGAGGTTAACTTTGCAATTTAGTCTTTAGGTAATGTAATATTCAGCATGGTCGTGGCTGAATTTGAAGAGT